TCTACTCTACTCTACTCTACTCTACTCTACTCTACTCTACTCTACTCTACTCTATTCCATTCTTATTGTCCCCTATGGCTATTATTAAGCGATGTACCTTATGATTCTTGACTCTTGACAAATGTATCTTTTACGTACACTGAGAGCATTTGCACCAAGACAGATTCCTTGGGTGTCCAATCACCCTTGGCCAATAAAAGAATTCTATTCTGTCCTGTCCTATTCTAACAATACCGTGTTCGACCCTCCCTCCCCCAAAACAAGACCAAGAATTCTCCTTGGCTCTTCCTGGGCATTTATAGGAGACCAGGCATGATCGACCTACAGGTTGGTGGGGCCACGCTTGGCTCCCCAACCCAAAGCATCTGCCTCTGGGTGACAGCTTGGTGCTTCCAAACTTCTAGCTTGGAACTTACCGGCTCGACTGGTTTTGGCCCCGGAAGAAGCTGGTGAGGAGCTGTTACTGGTGTCCCCGGTGAGAGACGTCCGGCTGGAGTGGAAAGTGGGCCGTTTCAACTTGCTGCCTGAGGCCGGGGCAACCTGGGGACAGAGAAGCAAGCAAGCCTGGTCACAGAGCCCCGGAAGAAAGCGCTTCCGAGGAGCCCTGAGCCCCAGGAGCAGCTGCAGGCCTCATAAAGGCAGAGAGGAGACAGGCTTCACACGTGGCCTTGGGGAGGCTTCGCCCAGCGTGTCGTGTGAATTCAGGCCAAGCAGATGATCAGAGGCCATGCGCAAACCAAACGCCGGGGCCCCCCTTGCATCACCACTCTCGTGGCCAGGGAGGAAAGCGGGCAGGCAGACCAGAAACAGGACGGGAAGTGGTTAACCCAGCGGCTCTCCTTACTGGAAGAAGAAAGAGGAGCCCCAGCCGGCCGTGGCCTTTTGGAGAGATCTGGGCAGCTTCTCAAGCCGGCCTAGAACTAGGACGGACGTCCACTCTGCTTATGCGTCCCTCTTAGGACCCTCCCCCACCCCAGGTGGAAGGGGCCGAAGACAAGGAGAGGCTCCTGGCGTCCTTCCTCGGAAGGGAGCGGGCTTCGGGACCCAGAATAAGTCCCTCCCATAAAATAAATCTGAAATAAAAGTCAGTGCTTGGACCGTAACTTGAATATGTAGCTCATCTAGTATTACAACTTCAGATTCTATTTATTATAACTTGTCCCGGCCACAGTTCCTAGGCTGCATTTGTAGCTTAAAGCTTAATGGTGGTTCTTAGTGTTTTACAGTCATATAATGTATGCTGTAATTCTTGGGTAATTAGTGATATATTGGGAAACTGTGATATCCACGGCATTCTAGGCCAAGTCTTGCCTGCTTGTCCCCTTTTTGTTCTTGCCCTTTATTTCTCTTCCTCTAAAATGCCCCAGAGAAAAAAAACAAGCCAGGCCTTTCCCTCCAAGCACCTCGCCGCCACAATCTCTGCCGGGACCTTCTGAAGCCACAGGTGGCCTGCAGTCGGATGGCAGTGCGGTTGGGCCCCGAGGCTCCTCTGGGTGGGCTCTTTCCATTCCCCTTACTTGAGGGGAGGCAGAAACTGTTATGGCAATGGAAACCAAGAACACTCCGCCCTGCCCTGAACCTTTGGATCAGTGGGGCCTGTTGGCTGGGGAGTTTGGAAGTGGAGATCACCCATCAAGTCCCCGAGAAGTTAGGAGACATTGATAACTAAACACAAATTAAGAGACACTTATTATTCAAGCCTGAGCTTCTTTCGCTCTCCAAACTTTATTTCTGAAAAAGGCCGCGGTATTTATTATACCCTTTTATTAAGCTGGGGCAGCTTTTTCCTCTTGGTTCTCGGAAGAAGTTCACGAGGCTCGGCCTCAAAGCCAAAGGAGCCTCTGGACCGCCAGGCACATAAGGGAGACACATATAAATGACCCCACAAAAAGGGGGGCCAGGATTTGGACTCTGCAATGGACAATCCTTCTTTTTTAAAATATATAATTTTTTAAATTTTTTATAACAACAAAAAAACCAAACAAATAAAACCTTCTGCAATGGACAATCCTGAATAGGACCTGCACCTCCCATGGCATCTCACCTCAGCAGGACTGCAGGGTCGCACATCAAACTGCAGATTGCACTGCGACCGACGGTAAGCTTACAGCATCGATCGCTCCAGTGTCTGGGTTTTTTTATAGATATAAATGATGCTGCACTTCAGTGGCTTGCTGACCCATTGGTACCTGAACTCAAGACCTTTTAAGAGTGTATATTTTACTGGGTTCTACTGATGTAGCTGAAACGCTAATTTATATTGCTAGTCCACGTACGACATGCCATATGCTAAGCAACCACCAGGCAGGCAGCCTCTGCTTCGGTTGCGCAGCCTCCGCTTAGACGACAGGCGAGGGGTAGCAAGCAGGAGAGAGGAAGCCAGCTCAAGTCCTTCCTTTTGCCCACAGGAGCCATACTCTACCTCAGAAGCAGGCAGGTGGAGGTCGGCATTATCGCAGCCCCTCAGGGGGGTACCTGCCTTGCTGTTTACCAACCAGGGTTTGTCATAACAACGGGTGAAGTGATGCGGAGTCTGTGAAATGGAAAATCCAAAGAGAGTTCGAAGGATGGTGGTGGTTGGAGGACAAACAAAGGAGTGGAGGAGGGAGGGAGGGAGGAGTGACCGGGTCAGAAGAAAATAAAACAGAAAAGAATATAAATCCTAAAATAATAAGTGAATAATAATAATAATAATAATAATAATAATAATAATGATAATAATAATAATAATGCAGCTAATGAACACAAACCTAGGCTGACAAAGGGCACAGAACTGTGTGATGCACAAGAAAAGTATTGGTAAAAAGGTGAAGGAAAAACACAGTCCACGTTGTGTGGGAGACCCACAGCTATTTTTGTGGGGGTGGGGGTGGGGGTGGGGGAAGAGTGTGAAGAAGAGGAGACATTCAGCCTTCCTCTCCTCTCCTCTCCCCACCTTCTTGAATGTGGAGCCATGGAAAGGGGAGGGAAAGGATCAAGGGAGCAGAGGACAGCCTGGCCCAGCCGAGCGAGCGAGCGAGCTCCCCGGGGGCTGCAGCCTCCGCCAAAGGAGGAGACGGTCGCAGGCCCCGCCTGTGGGGCTTCTGGGTCAGGCTGGGGAGGGGCGGGCCTGCTCCGCCACTCAGCAGAGGCCGGGAAAGGGCCTGCGTCTCACCTTGGTCCCGCTGGCAGGGGTGGCAGGGGAGGACGGCACGGAGGGGCAGCTGTGGTTGCTCTGGCTGGCGCTTGAGCTGGACCGTGTGGGGGAGGCAGCCCGGGAGGAAGGCTTGGACCTCCGGCCACGGGAGCGGAAGGGCGCCATTCCCTGAGAGGCGCCCTCGGGCAGGATGAATTTTTCCCGGAGTTCAAGGTTCGTCCTGCCTCGTGCTGTAAGGAAAGGACACAAAATGCAGGTGACGCAGCCGCCAGGACCGGAATGGAGGAGCCGACAAAGGGCCAGGACTGGAGTCTGCTGGAAGCAGGTGACCTTCTTCTTCCTTTCCTCAGCCGTACGCAAAGGCCTTTGCAGCACCGAATGAGCCAGGAAATGCCCCCCTCACCCGGGGCAGGCCACACGTCATGCAAAGCCCAACCACTCCGCTGACCCTCCCTCTGCCCCCCCACCCCGCCTGCATCTGGGCTAGGAAAAGGGTGGAGCGGTGTGGCCTTGGAGGGCGGGCATCAAGCCCCTTTCCCTTCCGATAGCCCCGTCGCTGTCCCCACATGCCAAAGGGCAGCTCCCCCGCCTCCCAAATTCTTCTCCCAGCAGAGAAGCCCCTGGACCAGAAGCCGGGAGCCCAAGGAGGCCGCGTGGATGTTGGGGAGGGACAGGCAGGCCTGAGACTGCCTGCCAAGGCTGGCCCAGCGCCCCCCAGCAAGGCCACGGCGTGCAGAGTCAGTCCCAAACAACAAGGGAGGGGGGGCTGCAATGCTTGGCCCCTCAGGATCTGCTCAGCTATAAAATGACGCGTGGATCCTCTGGAGCACCAAGATCCAGAAAAAGGAACCTTCTCAGGGGCAATCACTGCCCCTACTCTCACCCGAAAAGCTCTTCTGGCTCTCCAGGGGCTGAAATAAAATTAACTGGTGGGATCAAGAAATTGGAACACCCCCCTCTCCCCCCCCCCCCACACTTATTAGCAAACACGTTGATCGAATCTATGCTCCTTTGGGAAATACAAAACCAGCCAACGGAAGCGCACACAGGGGTAGTTTGGTTAAGCTGCACCGTGCAAAAGCCTTGTAGGATCAGTGCAGCCAGGGTAGTGCAGCCTACCCAAGAGACACAGCAACTGCCGCTGGGTCCTGTTCCAGAATCACGGGGAGTTCAGCAACATTTGGGCAAAAGGGCTTGGAAGCACAGAGCCCCCCCCCCCCATGCAATGCATTCCTTTGGGTTTTCCCGTAAATGTGCCTTCAACACCCAGAACTCTCAGCCAAATACCTGGAGGGCGCCAGGTGAGAGAAAAAGGCTGGAGGTTTTCCAGTCAGGAGCATCCAGCCAAGTTCGGGAGAAACGCTGGGAGGAAAAGCAAGTGTGAACCTGCCAGAAACATCACAACTCCAAAGTCCGAGGAAAGGGGATTTGTGGGCTCCCGGCAAACTACTTTTGAGTTACAGACACCCAAATCAATGCATGCTGCAATTTCAACACAAGGAGGAAGCGATACTAAAGGATTAAAAAGAAAAAAAACAACCCCTCCCCTGCGCCCCTAGAGGAAGGGGCTGGGGATGGAGTAGGCTTCCTCAACTTGGGTGTCGTTCAAGTGGGGGGACTTAAACCGTCTTCACAGCAGCTCTGCTCCCTGGAGAATCCTGGCAGTTCCTATACTTGGCTGGTCAAAGATTGGCAAGTGTCCAGGAATTGTGACCAGCGTCACAGAGCAGAGCAGTAGGTTGCTGCTTGGGGCAAGGTGGAGATCCTAGGAAGGCTGAAGCCAGCCCTCTGCCCTCCTTGCTCAGGGCTTATGGGACACCCTCGGCCCCCTGCCCCCCGAGGGCTTTGGCCAGGCTTCCTAAGGGCGGGGCTCTCCGGTGAGGAACCTGCCCAAAGTTAGGACCTGCCTGAGGACGCGTCCCCTGCATTGAGAAAAATCAGCAAATATAACTCTCTCTCTCTCTCCCCCCCCCTTTCTTTTTACTGCTACTGTTACTTTCCATCTGTTTTTCTAACTTCTTGACTTCCATTTTATTTATGTTTTGTTCAGCATGCAAGGAAGCACAGGGCATCCACCCAGGGTCTCGCACCCTGCTCCTCACTCGGGGCCGCCAGGAGGGTAAAGCTGAGCCTGAGGACCGGGGGGGGGGGGCTGGGGAAAGGAGGGGACCCTCGGGGGTGGCGGGAGAGCCCCGCACCCCCTTCCCTGGCCAAGCACAGCGCAGGCGATAGCATCCGGGGCAGGTTAGCGCAGCCAAGCCATTCCCAACAGGGCAGTCAGAGAAAGGCAAGAAAATCCTCCAACCTATCGGAGACTGACTGGCAATCGAAGAGCTGGAGTCGGAGCGTTTGATTTTACTCCCGGGGTGGTGAACTAGAACAGAGAAGAGAGAAGGTGCGGCAACGGGAGGGAGCGGCAGGGGCCCAGAGAGGAGGAGGCCGGCAGGGCAGGAAGGGAGGCTCCTTCGGGCGGCATGCAGGGCTGCCGTGGCCAGCGGCGGAGGAGGGAAAAGGAGGCCAGCTCGCAGGGCAAAGGGCTCCGGGGCCTTCGACCCTGCTTCCTCTCTGGGGGCGGCCCCTTGGTGCTCAGGGGGCCGATGCTGAGCAAGGCCCCCCCGGGCTCATCTTCCGGGGCCTTCCAGAGCAGCTGCCCAGTCTTCTCTCCTCGGCAGTCGCCCGTACGGGAGGTTTCCCTGGAAAAACCTTCGCTGAGAGCAGAGGCGGCTCCTACCTCGACAAGGATCGTTTTTGACCAGGAACTCATCCAGAGCCATCCATCCGCCACCGACACGAACCATGACCGTACTTCGCAGGATACGGACCAGCCGCAGCTGCTGGGAATCCCCGAACTGTTGCAAACATGCAAAGAGGGAGCTGGTTTAATGGCCGCAACCTGCTACGGCACACCCGTCTTCTTCTCCAAGAGAGCTCTGGGTCCCCCCACCCCCCAGCATGCCTTTGAAAATGACGGAGGCAATTAAAGGGATCGTACATTTGATTAAGTGTATTATTCTTATTAAATCAAATAATTACCATCTTCCTTAATAATTAATTTCTTAATTTTTTTCATGATTAAAAAAGTGGAATGATCCAATGCACCCTGGGGGGCAAGGACCCCAAGCCAAAGCCGCCTCCTCAGTGGCCAAGCACAGACAATGAATCCCAGCCAGCCACAAAAGGCTGCATGAGAGAGATGCCAAAAGACGCCCCCCCCCAGGGGGGGCGGGAGGGGGCGGGCTGGGGGTCAGCTCCAGGGCCTCTCCTGCTTGGCAGCTGCCCACGCCTGCTGCTGCGCCCCCAACGGGCCGTTCCTCTTTGGGGGCAGCCAGAGGAGGCCGGATTCTGCACTCCCCCCGAAGAGGGGGGGGGTGCCTTTTGCAAGCCGCTTGGCCCCAACCGTCACCTGATGCAGCCCCTTCAGAAGAGGCCAAGCGGAGGAGCCTCCACCCCCGAAAGGCTTCCCAGCCTGGCACCCTCCCCCGCCCCCAGCAGAAGCGTGATTGGCAGCAGCCAGAGACAGGTGAGCCTGCAACCCCCCCCCAGAGCATGGATGGACTGACTGATTGCAGCGGCAGATCACAGGCAGAGCCCACAATTTGCTCAGATTGATCAGGGAGGCCCCAAAGCCGCCTGCTTCGCTCCAGCAGCACCTTCTGTTCCCATCAGCCTCCACCCTGGGGACCCTCTTCAGCCCCCCCTCCCCCCGTCAATGTTTCAGCTGGACAGCCGGGCATCGTCCCACCTCAGGGGTCACGTCACCATCACCTCCACCCTGTCATAATTCTGGCTGGCTGAACAAGGAAGGTATTAGCTCCACCCCACCCCCCTGAGCTGATCTAGGAAACTCAAACTCCATTTACTGGGTCAGATTTGGCCAAAAGAGGCCAACAGCCGACATTCACTGCCACCCCCTCCCTGCCCCCCCAAATCAGGCAACAGGAGGTGACCCTGAATTCAGCAGGGAGCCAGAAGGGAGCCCAGGGAAGCGTCTGCAGCAGCCCTGGTTGGTTGCCTCGGAAGGGAGCAAGAGGCTGGGCAGAGACCCCCTCTCTTGGGGGAAGGGCCTCGCAGGGGCGTTGGAGATTGAATGCTGTTTTTTGGGGGGGGTTCCGGAGAAACTGGGGACTTGCATTTCCAAAGCAATAGAAGGTCAATAGGAGCCCATGGAAAGAGGCCGATAGGCAGAATACTTGGTCAAGATTCTGTGCAGTGGACCCAAAAGTCTGGGCCAAACTCCCTGGCTGAGCCCCCGCCAGCTCCACTCAGGCACGCCGAAAGTGGCAGGAGGGCTCCTTGGCCAGGCTGGGCTCATGGCTCTGGCTTGGAGGAAGGTCCCTGGGCCTCCCAAGGTAGGTCTCTTCATCTGCTGGTGGTCAGTTTGGAGCAAGGGTTTCTGCCAGCCCCCAACAGTCCACGGCCAGCCAGTTCTGAGGATCCAGGACTGTCCCAGGAGGATGCGCAGGCGACTCTGGCCAGCTGCTCTTTTGAGAATTTCTGCCTGGCTCATGGCCAGGGCAGCCCCACTCTTATTTAAGATGCTCCCTTAAAGCAAGTTTTCAGTTCTCAGAAGGGGCTGAAGTCTACTCTGGGTGCACAGGGGTGTGTGTGTGTGTGTGTGTGTGTGTGTGATTCTGTGTTTGTTTTTACAATTGGCAGTCACTGCCTGGTTGCGTCACTACATTTCTGAATATACCAGCAACTCTGTTGTCAAGTTAATACATCCACGAGCACAATAGCCACAGTTAGGAAAAGGCCGGTGTGGAAACAGGCACGCAAATTATACATGCACATCTTGGAAGGAGAATTAGCTACAGGAAAACGCAGAGGCAGCACTGCAAAAAGCTCACTGTACCTGGTTGCCGAGGAAGAACTAGGGAGGAGGAGGAGGAGGAAGAGAAAGGGAGAAGAGAGAACGTATCACACAGGGTTACATCACACAGGGCAACAATGCTGGCGCTCTTTTCTGTGCTTCCCGTACTGCTGCTCAGGGCTGCTCCTCCGTTTGTGGGTTAAAACAAAGGAAGGCCAGCAGAAAGGGGGGTGAGTGGCCCCAAGTGGCAAGGGGGGGGGCACCAGCTACTCGGCACTCTGGGATTGGGCCACGGCTCCCCCCCCCCGAAAGCCCCCGGCAAGAGTGGCAGCCAAAGCTGCTCCTCGCGCCCCTGGTGCCTGGGTCCAAAGGAGCTTTCGTCAAAGGTTGAGAAGCGAATGAAGTCCAGTCGCCTTTTGAAGGAAGCCCCTTCGGGCCTCCTGGGCTACAATCCAGCCAGGCCAAGGGACGCAGAGAAGCGCAAAGGCCAGCAGCTTCAAGCAAAAATCAGAAAGAGGGTGAAGCCCCATTTCTGAAACCATTTTCCTGGGAGCAGCCAGAAGGAAACTGTTCAAACCTGAGAAAGGAGCATACTAGGAGGCAGGACGCCCCCACCCCCCACCCCCAACCTAGAGGCCTCCCAGGCACAGGAGACAGTAGTGGCTCATGGGGGCAGCTTTCTCCATTCCCCTTGCAGAGCACCATGGGTCCCCCTGCCTCTGGGAGCGGCACCAGGGCGCCAGGGCCTGCTTCCCGACTGTGGGGGGGGGGGGGCACGTCTCCTCCACACGACAAGGGCCCTGCACTGCACCGTCAGCCTGCCGAGGGCCCCAGATCCCAGACAGCCCCCACCCTGGCTCCCCCCTTCTTACCCGGTACTTGTTCTCTCCAATCTGCTCCACTTGGAATCGCTTGGCACATTTGCACTGAGCCACCTGCCTTGTCACCTGCAAGGGAAGAGAATGCGGGAAGAAACTTGGTGGGGCGTCGGCTGCTGCACGGGAGAGAAACCACCCTGCGCTTCGGGCGCTCCTTCCCCGTAGCTTCACGTGGGGAGGGAGGGGATGGCCGTCCGTCGTGGCGGCCTCTGCTGCTCTGTGGTGATCTGGAGCCCAGAGCTCGGACCGCTGGGCCACCACCAACTGACCAGCTCTGGCTGGGCAATGCTGCTCAAGCCCTGCCACCCGTAACAGACAGCACCCGGCCAGGGTTGTGTTGGCCCTGAATGTCAGAAGTCCCACCCGAAAGAGTGAGGAAGAGTGGGCAGGCAAAGTACAGCATTAGGAACGTCCTGTGCTGTTCCTGGCTTCCCCCGGGCCAAACTGGGGCCCCAGATGCAGGAAACCAGCCCCTTTGGGCAGGCGACCCCCTCTGGCTGCACTTGCATGCCCCAAAAACTGCAGGATGCAGACTCCAAATAAATTCCTATATAATTAGTACCTATTGATTAAGATGAACTGCCAGTAAAAGGATGCACTTGATTAGACTGTCCTGCTTATGCAGGGGGTTGGACTGGATGACCTCCAAGGTCCCTTCCAACTCTATGCTCTATGATTAAGCTGTGAACGTTCCCCTGGATATAGCAAAACGGACAGGGAAATGGAGGCGGGGGGGAGGTGCCTGGGAGGGGTGTGAAGGCTGGAAGGCTGCCAAGTGAGGGGGGCAAAGGAAGAATTCCCATGGTTTGGACTGACCCCCCTGCAGGGCCCTCCCACAAGAGGAGGGACCCCAGACCCAACACTTCCGCCTCTGAGATACAGAGGGAAAAGGAGGCCACAAGAATGCATCAAGAGAAGAAGTTGCCAGGAACAGCCTCGCTCGCTGTCTCTCCTCCCCCGGCCAAACCCGTACCTCATCCTCGATTTTGTCCGCATCCGTTGTGGGCCGGTAAGCATCTTTGTTAGGGTGCAGAGCAGCTACGAACTCATAGTAGTCGATGTAGCCGTCCCCATCCCGGTCAAAGATATCAGCGACAGCTGTCATTTCTAACTTCGTTGTGGGGAATTCTGGGGAAGGAAGAGAAAGAGGAGAGATGGACGCCAAGCCCCTTCCGTGACGCTTTCAACGCTGCAGAAAGAGTGGGAATATTTGAAGCAAGCAAGGAAGGTCAGCCAAGGTCAAAGCCTGGCAAAGCGGAAGAGCCCTGATAAGCTGACCATCCCGACGAACGTCAGGGAGCCTGACCTATATGGGTCTCCCTCCTTCCATGGGTCTCATCGAAATGCCTGGAGAACTGAGAAGGCCCTGAGCCGTGTTTCATCTCCAGTTGCCTTTCAATAGGCCGAGGCCATCTCTGAAGGCAGCCCCTCCGATACCCAAGGCTTGGGGAGGGGGCTCCCAACCAGAATGGCCATCAGTGCTTCTGAACTGCACAGGAAATTCCGGGTGCAAAACAACCCAGATGACCCCCCAACAGCTTTGGAAAGTGGCTCCTTGGCCAAGAGGACCACTTGGGCTCACCTAAGGGCATCTTGGATTATCAGCCCCACAAATGGAAAGACAATGTAAAGGAAGTAGATGAAAGCAGGTTATGGGGAACGGAGGACTTTCTCTTGTAGTAAAGTTTCTAGGGACAGCGGGAGGAGGAGAGGGGCCGGGGTCCTCTCTCTCTGTCCTCACCTCCACTCCCACCCAGCCATGAAGCTACAGCCTCCACTAAGTTACACATTCCATAGATTGGGGGGGGGGGCACCACTGTGGGGTACCCAGAAATCCCTGCACAAACAGGTGCATCAGGCAGGAAGACCCCAGCCATTCTACTTTCCATGGCGGCGCAGAGTTACAGTGCAGGATTGCAGGCTAATTCTGCTGACTGCCAGCCGTTCAATCCTGACCAGCTCAAGGTTGACTCAGCCCTTCATCCTTCCGAGGTGGATAAAATGAGGAGCCAGATTGTTGGGGGCAAGAAACTGACTCTGTAAACCCCTGAGAGAGGGCTGGGAAGCACTGGGAAGCGGCCTATCAGTCTAGGCGCTACTCCTGCTACTCCACCTGCCAGCTTTCCAGCGCTGGAGCCCGCCACTCAGCTTGGCTGCCAGGCGAGGGTGGCAAATCAAGCCCAGGGCCTTGGGGTGGGCAGGTGGAGAGAGACTCCTCCTGAGCCAGGGTGCCACCCTTCTGGCTGCCCAGTTGCCCATGTCACAGCAACCCAAGCAAGGCATGGAACAAGCAGGCACTCACTCGAGGCCAGGATCCCATCAATGAACTCCTGCCGGGTGATCTTCCCATCCTGGTCTTTGTCGATCCGCCGGAAGAAATCCATCACACGGGATTTCTTGTGGTTCATCCAGCGCATGTATTTCTTCCGCCATACATCAAAGTCAAAGTTTGCAAACTCTTTCAACTGGGAAACAGAAGGGGGGGAAAGGACACGCTCTGTTCACATAATATACTTAATCGGTCATTTAAAGACTCATCCGCTCCGAGGGCCCAACTTGGGCTTATTTTGCCAGAATTAACCTTCGGTGGGTTTTCTGAAGCTCCCTGTGCTGAGTCAACCCAGGCTGTGTTCCAGGTATCAACCGAAGCGTATTCTGTAAACTCAGCCACAAAAGACCCCAAAATGGGGCCCCTTGGAAAGCCTTGGGGAGCAGCCCCATCCTTCCCTGCACCAGCCCAGGGGCACCAGCGTCACCGCTTGGAAGGTCTCCGAATTCCCATAATCGGGCTCCCTGAGAGTGTGGAAGGCTCCTTGGGGTTGCGTCTATGTGTAAGAGGGCAGGATGGCAACTTCAACGAGCGTATCAGGAAAAGCGGGGAAGCCTTTCCCTTCCCAGTCCGTTCTCTGCCCCCAGCCCCAAATGGTGGGAGTGGAATCTTCCTCTTGGTGAGGAGACAACACAAGGAGATGGCCAAACCTTAGGCCTGTCGTTATGGCTGGAACTGACCAGGAACTCTTCTGTGTGGCAGGAAATGGCATTTATTTCATGGCATATTCCCACAGCTAGAGACCTCCAAGTGGGCCTGAGTGTAAACACCAAGGAATGGCCGAGGACAGAGGTCATCAACCAGAACATTTGCGCATTGCACGTGCCCCCCCCCCCCCCCCATGGCAGAGGTTTCTAGCCCAACCCTGGGCCAGTCCCCTCTTCCAGCGCGGTCGTCGTCACAGGACTGGCCCTGTGGTCATAGCAAAGCAGCTGCCAAAGGGCCAGTCCTGTGATGACGACGGCGCTGGAACAGGCGACCGGCTTTCCCACCAGCCTCAGTCTGCCCACCTTTGTCTTCCTTCACTCGGAGTGACCATTGTTTTCTAATAATTTCACTAATAATTCTGTTACAATTAAACAACCTTTAAATATTTTGTTACGATGAAATAAGCGTTTATAATTTTGTTGTATTAAATAGGTGCACTTCATATCAATAAAATGGAAGTTCTCTGATCATTATTTTACAAACGTATGTATCTTTTTAACGAAAAAAGTGGTCCGCGGGATTTAAAATCATGAACTGGGTGGTCCCCGAGGTCCAAAAGGCTGGAGGCCTCAGCTTTTAAATGGCTTCCAGCAAAGATGAGCGAGTGGGCGGGGAAAGGGCCGGCAGGGCAGCCGCTGAGGGAGGAGCGGGACGGGCACCAGCCTGATCAGCCCCAACCTTCCAATCTGGTGACCGCCATTTCCCACGTGCCTCACGTCCGAGGCCGTCCCGCCACCTGCAGGAGAGGATCCTCACCTCTTCCAGCCTGTCCAGGGCATCGTTGAGCTTGCGCTGCCGCTCCAGTGCCAGGAGCCACACCTGCTGCCAACGTGCCGAGAGCTGGTTGATGCGTGGGTTCTTGGCTTCGGCCTGCAAGAGGATCGGCAGGGGCGGAGGGGCTGCCTGGTTCAAGGGCTTCCCTGGAATAAAAAGTGGAGGAGCTGAAAAAAGCCCAGCCAAGCTGGAGCATGGGAAAAGGGAAAAAGCCAGAGGATAAAGTGGGAAACTCCCATCAAAAACTGGGCCAAGAGGGTCCCCCCACCCAGTGGAGGGTGGGCGGGATCCCCTTTTCAGACCTGAGTTCCGAAAGCAGGACCCGCCTTAAAACAGACAACAGTTCAGAGTCCCAGCCTGCAGGGAATACGCTCGACTGCTCAGCAACTGCCAGCGCCAGCCAGCCAGGCTGGGCTCTTGGCAGGCTTCCACCTCAGCCCTGCACCCCTGGCCCTAGTTCCTGGCACCCCACGTTATGACAACTTACTGTTGCTGCGGGATTTTTCCATGAAAGAGCCATGAGTTGGCTCAGTCACTTTCCTCTTGTATGTTTTGGTGACACGATCCACATCCGGCTGCTTCCGGGTCATCTCTTCCATGAAGGACTGGAAGGAGGAAAGAGGCAATCGTTTGCAAATATCCAGCTACTTTTCTCAGCCTCCCTTTGGAGCCTTAAAGCTCAACAGCCCAAGAGGCAACGGTTGCGGCGTCCTGTTGGCGACATCTCCAGCCCGTGCCAGGCCCTGAGCCTTTGTGCCGCTTGCTGTGACCAATGCATCCCGTGGGAAGGGCAGATGCTGCTCCCTTCTAGGGAGGGGCCAGGGGAACTCAGGGAGGCGCTTACCTGGTGCTCCGCAATGAGGGCCTTGACCTGCTCGATATTCTGGGGCTCCTGGTCCCGCTGGATCAGCGTGGCCTCCGCCCACTGGATCCACGCCAGCAGTTCTTCCAGCAGCTCCGCGTTGGCCCTGAGTTCCAGGAGCGCCGCTTCAAGCCGTTGCTGATGCTGCTTTGCCCAAGTGAGAACCTGGAGGAGAAAGAGGCCGCCAAGAGAAAAGACTGAGGGGCAGGGAGGGCTGGGCGCTTGGAGGGGTGGAGACAGGGACTGGGGCCAGTTACTACCCCACAGGGGCAGGAGACCCCACCATTAATGAAAGGAAGACCACCACCCCCTTCAGCCACCACAAGGGGCCCAACTCAGTGGACAAGAGGCCGGTGTCCCCACAGCAACTCACCTCTTCGAACCGAGCACGGATGATGGTGATCCAGTGTTTTATGGTGGTGACGCAGTCCGGGTGGCACACAGACAGGATGGCTTCTCCCATCCCCACCGCCGAGTTCACGTCCAGCCTTTTTTCCTCCACTTTCTTCATAAACTCCTGCACAGGGCAACGCAAAGTCACTGTTACCCACGGCCCCTCCTCTGCCCTACCCTGGGCCGCCCCACATTCCTGGGATCAATGCCCACCTTGTGTACATCGATGAGTGACTGCAGTGCTTCCGCGTCGTCGGGCAAAGCTCCCCGGAAGCGGAGGGTCTGCTCGGCCTCCGAGAGCCACTCCAGCAGCTGGTGGATGGCTGTCCGGAACTCCTCGGCCTGGAAAGCAGAAGCGCCCAAGTCAGCCCTCCCCGTCTGCAACCTGCCCCTCAGGATGGGCCAAAGGAGTCGGCTGCACTCAGCCAGCTATGCCCTGGAAGCGTCATGCCCAGCACTCAGACTCTGAGGAAGTTTCTCCAGCTGAACCTGTGGAATGTCAGCCTCAGAGGACACCAAACTAGGAGCGATTGGATCGAAGACAGGCATCATCCACACAACCAAAGCCGTCATAGGAGGACGTGGCCTCCAAGGCCCTCACACTCGGGCAGTAGAGAGGAGAGCAGAACAGGGATTCTCCATGAGCAGAGGTGGGCGGATGCCGGTTTGCACCGGTTTGGGTGAACTGGTAGTTAAGATTCTATGCAGTTCGGCGAACAGCAAATCCCACCACTGGCTGACCCTGCCCCCGCTCGTTTTCCAGCCTTTTTTCTGGACGCTTTTCAGGCCATTTTCAGGCTGTTTTTCAGAAAGAGCAAGGCCAGCCAGTGGTGGGATTAGGCCCAACCAGCTGAATCCTACCTCTGCCTTTGAGGCCAGTGGCCGGGAGGCGGGGCTGGGTGCGATGAGTGACATCACCCTCTCAGTCACATGACCAACTGGCCACGCTTAGCCAGCTAGAGAATCGGTTGTTAAGTCATTCCCATCCCACCACTGGCTATGAGGCTCCTTGCTAAGCAGGGAAGTAACTTTCCTGATTAAAGACCGATTAAAAAGGTAGCCCTGACTCATAACACTCCGCTGTAAACAACCACCTGATCTCCGGCTTTGTTGTGTTGCTTCTGTGACTCTTGCACATAAAACTCTGACCTTGGATTTGCAGCAAACTTTACTTGGCTTTCTCAGCTTTGGACTGGATTCTGACTATTCTTCTACGTGCTGCTGTTGAAAGCAAAACCATCAAGCAAACTTTCTTTCCAAGGGTCTTTGTTGATTTACATTTCTTCCTTGTCTGCTATTATCCGCTCAGTCTTGAGTAAATTGCTTTCCTCACTTAGTATGAGTGTTTGTAGGGGGGAGGGAGGGAGAGGGAGGGAGTTTGAAGCGTGAAACGGGACAGGAGGCTACGATCAGCACTACTGCATGAATGCCACCCCCACCCACCCCGATGCAGGAGGTGGGCTAGAGATGTCCATCTCCCTCAGGGCCCTCAAGCCTGAGGCGGAAGGCAACTTGCTGATGGCCCAGGAGGGCAGAGGGAGATGAGAAATAGAAAGGCCACACACCGGCCTTCTCTGAGGTGCCTCAGGGTTACTTAATGTGTGGAATAAAGTTCTAGGCAAGGCCTACTTTCCACACACTGGAGCTTACCTCCTCGGGGGGTAGCCAAAGGACCCCTAAACTTCTCCCCTTGCTACGGCCGTTGCCCTCCCTCCTCCCAGGTGGGACATGCATGCTTCCCAGACCAGCAAGAGGAGAGCACAACGCTCAGGAAGCAGGTGGAGCAGCAAGAACAAGAGCGAGTGCGAGGTGGGCCTGCCTCCTGTCCCCACACCTGCTTTAAGGCCTGCTCCAGCCGCGTCTGCTTCAGGACGGACATCTTGCAGACCGTATCCCAGCGGTTGCTCAGCTCCTGAAGCTGCACTTTCACCCAGGTGGTGTCGTCTCGGCTGTTCTCAATCAGTTCCCGACCTGAGCGCTTGAGAACCTGGACGGTGCCCGTCCGCTTGCCAAGTTCTTTCTGGAAAACCTAACAAGGAAATGAAAAAATACCCTTGAACCAAGCTCCACTCGCGGTAACCAAATGCAGTTTTCTCGCCAAGGTCAGAAGAGGTTTATTTTTTCCTTTGACCCTCCGGACTCTGGCTCCCTTATTGCTGTTCCCAAAGCCCACTCTGCTCCGGCATGTTCTAGAACAGGTGCGTTCAACGTTTGGCTTGCCTGGGCTGCACTGAGTGATGCATATAAAATGCATGATAGAGCAAATGTATATAAATCGGGGGGGGGGGGGGGTCCTTTGCGCTCTCCGAGCTTGCCTGTTTTCTAGCACATGTTTCACGAACCAGCAGTCAAGAATATGAAAAGCTTACGATCTTGTGAGGCTGTATTGCTGGAGCCACCTGCAGCCCAGGGGCCGTGGGTTGGACACCCCCGTTTGAGAAAGAGTGGCGAAGCTGGAGGCTGGCTGCCCATTTTGCAAGGGCCCCCTCGGCTCGCTTTTTGGAGCCGAAGGGAAGGAAGCCGGCCAGGCTGCCAGGGGGCCGAGCTAGACGGCTGCCTGCTTCCCTTCCACATCCCTTGGGCTGCCCCTCAGCACTGACCTTGTGAGCATCCATTGAATTCATGACCAGGTCCAGATCCCCGTGGACAGGCTGGTCTTCGGCCAACTGGGGCTCCACTTTGTAGAGCCAGTCCACCAAGGCCTGCAGGGCATCCATGAACTGCCCAGAGAAGAGAAGCGCCTCTTCCAGTTTGTGCTGCCTGCAAAGAGACGGAGGGGAGGATGGCAGGCGTTCTCCCTGGAGCCCAGGCGGGGCTGCTCTCGCCAGGCGCAAAGGGCCTCCTGAGCCAGCTGAGCCCGTCCCTTGCCCCCCACCCGCACCTCTGCCCAGTCTTGCAATTGCCCCCCCACCCGCACCTCCCTGGGGGGCTCTGGCAATGAAACAGGCGGAGCTGGGCATCTCGGAGGGCACCACCGGCCGCCTGCTCCCACTCACCGCTCCACAGATTTGCCACAAACGGTGTCCCATTTATCCCGGACTTCCCCCAGGAGGTGGTCCAGGTTTTGGGTGTCATCGGGGAAGTGAGCTTTCTCTTTCAAGGCTCTCCCGGTGCGGATGGTGGTGTCGTAAACAGGCTGTTTGCCTCCCAGGGTTTTCTGGAACTCCTGAGGTTTTGACAGGAAGGGGAAGCAAATCTCAGTGCGTTTCCTCTCCATTTGCCAAGGGGAGCCGGAGAGGGGGGGGGGGCCTTCCCCAGCCCCCCCTTGTGCCTCAGGTTCCGGGGCCCCTCCCAGCCTGCCAGGCCTGCCTCCAGCAGCAGCAGCAGCAGCAGCCATCAGAGGCCCCTGCATTTCCTTATGCGCATGGAAGCCCCTCTTGGGCCTCTGCTTTGTCCTCCTCCTCCCGCCTCTGGGTCCACACAGCCCGGGAAGCAGGGAAGCCAGCCCAGCCTGTTCCGGCTCACGGGACAGGGAGGGAGGGAGGGAGGGAGGGAGAGGGAGGACAGTGGAAGTCTTCCTCCTTCTCCCCAGCCCGGTTGAAGCTTTTCCTCCCAGGCCAAAGAGGGCCTGGCTCTGTTCAACCCTCTCCGGGTTCATCCTGCCCTGAGCTGGTTTGTGCCACTCCCCCCCCCCCCCCCCCCCCGAGGTTCCTTTGTGGGGGGAAGGATAAAAGTCTGGCAAAGAGATGGAGAAAAAAAGAAGGGCAGAAAATCCCCCTGGAGGAGAAGTTCCACAAGATTTACGTCCGGTCAGAGACTTTGGGGTGGGGTGTGTGTGTGTGTGTGTGAAATAATTAATGCTTAAGACTCTCATCAAAGTCACTTTGTTTCATTGAACAGTAGCTACTACCTAAATCTGGAGGGTCTTTCTTCTCCCGTCGTTTTTGGTAACGGGCTCTTGCAATCTGTTGGCTGACCCGGCCTTTCCCAGGCCCTTGGGCCTCCTTGACCCTTCTCGGCCTGGGAGGCCCTTCTCTCAGTCACCCCCACCCTGGTCATCTCCCACCTGGACGACTGCAATTATCCTCTGTCAGGAAAAGGATCCCAAAGCTTCAGCTGGGACAGAATGTGGCTGCGCAAGCAATTTGGGATGCCCCAAGGAGACACAGGCAACCCCTCTGCTGGGGAGCTGCACTGGAGGCCGACTGGCTTCTGGGTCTAATTCCAGGTGCCGACGGTGACGTCCAAAGCCCCCTGCGTGGGACAGGCTACCTGCAGAGCTACCTTCTTCCTACTACACTGGCCTATCCCACACAGTCAGGCAGGTGCATCAGCCAAATAATTCCAACTGGCGGGATTGGGGGGGGGGGAGGGAGAGTGGGGGGAGAGAGCCTTCTCTGCCATCCCCTCTGGACTACTCTCCCCCAAGAGGGGAGGGAGGTCCTCACCCCCCTGGCCTTTCGGAAGGGCCCGAAGCCCCACTTGCTTGGGACTCACAGAGGAGTGTGTGGCCCGAAGGTTGGTTAGGGCCTTGACAGCTGCCCCCACCCTTAATTTCAACTACTGCGTTTTAACTCCCTCCTGGTGGGGTGTAATATTTATGTGGCTTTTTATGTCTTTAACTGTACCCTGAGTGAGATGGGCAGTTTCAAAACTTAATATATAAATACATTGTAACTGGACTCCAACCTTGTGCTTGGAAAGCTGCAATTTGATTTTGTCTGGATCGTTGGAAATTTCCAGCTCAGAATTTAGATTATTTTCAGCATCTTCCAACCAGTCCACCAACTTTCTCCAAGCTTCATGGAACTAGAATGTAAAAATGTACCACAAAGAGTGAGTATTTTACATATTTTATATACACACACACACACACACACACACACACACACACACACACACACATATATGTGTGTGTGTGTGTGTGCATATGCATATGCCTATGCATATGCATATGTATATGTGTATGTATGTATGTATGGTGTTCAGCTTTGTTCGGGTATTTTCCCACGTCATTATAGTTGTGCCTTTAAAATTGTAGTGACGTTTCGGCAGAATCTCATCTGCCATCATCTGGCTCGTGTATTGTGTTCGTCTGTGAGTCAGACTTTCACAACTTTAAAAGCGTCATTATAAAAAAACTTTATAATGACGTGGGAAAATACCCGAACAGAGCTGAATACCATACATACATACATACATACATACAACATAAGGGATACACACACACACACACACACCGGACAGACCACATACATTGGACAGACCAATAGAAGAGTAAAAAAACCCTCCTGGGCTGCGGCTCTTCCTCCTGTCTCCAAGGCTCTTCTCCCAGCCCATCGCATTGACTCCCCCACTTTTCCAGCCCTTTCCATGCAGCTACCAGCCTTCTAGTTCTTCCCTTGACTGCTCTCTATTTTCCTTCCCAGGGTTGTTTTCTGCGTTCACGTGGGGTCCTCCCATTTCCCCTGCGCATGCTCACGCCTTCTTCCCAACGCTTCTCTTGCTGCACAGCATTTGCCACCTTGCCTCAACCTCTCCCCTGGCTTCAGAGCAAACAAGCCATGTCCTCCCCCCAATGGCCAGCAGAATCCCCCCCCTTCACACACACAACGGCCACAGCTTTTAATGCATTTCAACGGTGGTCCTGCAGTGCTATGGTAGCAAATGCCCACAGTTGGCCCCCAATGAGCAGCTCCCAAAGCCTTCCAGGACGCTCACCTGTTTTGCCCGCTTCCTGGCATCATCTAGAGCTCGCCCCCGTTCCACTGACCGCTGGACAACCTTCTCCCAGCGAGACTGCACGCTGACCAGGAGGTTCTTGATCAGGACCACATCCTGCTTCTGGCTCAGGAACTTCAGCTGGTTTCCGCTTTGGTCCAGCGCAATGATCTGATGCCGGTGGGCGTTCACTTCGTTCGCAAAACCCTGCCGGGGGTGGGGTAGAAGCAGAAGACAAACCCCTTTGGAGTCCCGGCCCTGGGGCCAGCGGCCAAACCTCCTTCCTGTGGCTGGGCTGGAAGAAGCCTGCAGGCGAGGCTGAAGCCCCACCCCAAGGCCCTCTGGCCGAGGCACTTCAGGGCCGCCCTGAGCCTTTGGCCAAGAGGAAGGTGTGGAGGGGGCCCCTGGGATGCCCTTACCTTGTGCTCGTCCACTTGGGAGAGCACAGTGCTATGGATGAGGCTCGGAGGAGAGGCAACGTTCAGACTCTGCTCCGCAAGGGTCAGCCAGTTGATGAAGTCCTGCAGGGAATTCTGGAATTCGGTTGCCAAGTTGAGTGCCTCTTCCAGCTTGGACTAAACGGGGGACAAGGCCGAGGAGTGAGGGAAGGAGGCAGGAGAAATGGGGCACCTGGCAAATCTCACAGCGGTTGACCTTCCAGGCCAATCGCACGGCTTTTGCCTACCCCCACCCCTGCTCCAAGAGAGAAGCCAGAATTTCAGTCATGTTCTCAGTGGGGAGAAGGCCTTCCCCTTTCCCCCCCCCCCCCCCCCCCCCCCCCCCCCGCATCCTCAGTGAAGAACGCTGGAGAGAATCCAAATAGCCAACAGAAACTTTTCTATGGCAGAAAACGGCTGCAGCCCTTTGCAGCTTCCTGAAAGGAGAGGGGTCATTTACGAGCTTTGAGAAGTCCCTGCACGCCACTTGTACACCCCGCTGGACTAGACCCAACCCTGCTGCCTGCATTCACTCCGGCCCAGAGACAACCAGGCGCCTGTGCAGGGACCAGGGGACGGCAAGGCTGCGCTTTCCAAGGGATTCAGGGTCGCTTGCCATCTTTCACGCTCCCAGGCTGAACTCATACTGATGACGCCTCCTGCCGCAACCGCAGATCCCCGCTTCTCCCTCCCAGCCCGATCTCCTGCCTCTTTTGTTCCACTCTAGTTCAACACTTCCTCTGTGAACTCTATGGCTCCATCATGCAGAGAATCCGGTTTACTTGTATAAAGCTGGAAACAGACCTGCCAATCAAAGAACTGATGGGCTGCCAGAGAAGGGCCAACCTGTTTCCCCAGTGTGTGTTTGCATCACAGCAACTTTCCGAGTGCGGAAAGCAGGTGTGTGGTGCAACCAAGTCCCCCATCCGCCCTGCTCCCTACCTTCCGCTCTTCCATCTTTGTGCTGACCAAGGCCCATTTCTGTTCCAAGAGAGCCACACTTTGCTCCATCTTTGATCCAGATCCAGCATCGTCCTGGCTCAGAAGCATGAGCCTCCCCTTCGCCAGGAGCTGGCTGTAGATTTCCTCATTTGCCTTGAGCTGGGCGTAGAGTTCCTAGGACACAAAGCAGCGCTTCAGAAGAGACATTTGGCAGGACTTCTCCTCAAGATGCATCGCATCTTCTTTGCCACCACTTTTTGGCTCAGGGAATGTTTGGATCATGGCAGAACACAGAAGAACAGAGCTGGAAGGCACCTCAGAAGTCATCTAGTCCAACCTCCTCCTCAAACAGGAGTGCCTATTCTATTCCAGAAAAATGGCTGTCCAAGATCTTCTTAAAAACCTCCAGTGATGGGAGCACCCATAATTCTGGGAGGCGAGCTGTTCTACTGGTCCTCACTGTTAAGACGTTTTTCCTTAATTATCCTTAATAAAAGAGCTGTGGTGGCACAGTGGTCAGAGTGCAGTACTGCAGGCTACTTCTGCTGACTGCCGGCTGCCTGCAATTTGGCAGATCGAATCCCACCAGGCTCAAGGTTGGCTCAGTCTTCCCTCCTTCCAAGGTGGGTCAAATGAGGACCCAAACTGTTGGGGGCAAGAGGCGGATTCTGTTAACTGCTTAGAGAGGGCTGTAGAGCACTGCGAGGCAGCAAATAAGTCTAAGGGTTATTGCTGTTGCTAATTCCAGGTGATCTCTTTGATTAGGTTCTTGCCCATTGCTTCTTGCCTCTGGTGCTCTGGGGAATAGATTGATCTCTTCTTTGTGGCAGCTCCTCAAATACTGGACTAGGGCTACCATGTCACCTCTCGTCCTTCTCTATACTAGACTAGACATACCAAGTTCCCTCAATCGTCCATCGTATGGCTTAGCATCCAGTCTTCTGATGTGCTTAGCTTCCTGTTGCGTCTAGACGTTCTGAAGTGGATGCATAGCACTCCAGACTTGGGGATTCTTGGCTAAGCCACAAAACTTCCATGAGGATTGTGACTAGACTGTGCAAGGTAGAATGAAGCTCATCAAACCTTCCCCCCCAATTGTTCTTGGAAGTTTCTATTCCTTTTAGAGCAACTCCCCAAGAGGCACTTACGGGTACTCTGGCAAAACCCCCCCCCCCCAACCCTGCCCACACCAACGAGGCCAGAATTCAGCTGCCCTGACTCACCATGTGGGTGCTGAGTTGTTCCCGAGCAGTTTCTGGCAGGCCTCCCGTTGCCTTGGAGGCCGACAGCTGACTCTCCATCCTGGTGAGCCACAAGAGGAAGCTCTCGATTTCACCGTGGAAGCCCTGGGCCTGGGCAGAGAACAGGGTGGGGTGTTTATGGACCAAAGTGCCGCCTTTCCCAGAAAATCCAAGCTTACAAATTGATACTTTGTAAGTAGACAATCTAATAATCTATAAAAAACCAACTACCCATAAGGGGCCCTGAAAAATCACATTGCGAAGCCTCTGGGCAGCCAACCACACAAGAGGAATGCCACTCTCTGGCAGAGGACCAGCGTAGGGCAAGAGCTCTCTGAGTTTGCCTGCTTGCAGACGTTTCATTACCCTAACCAGGTAACGTCATCGGTGCTAGTAAGGAGGGCTGCTTGCTTGCTGTCAGCTTTATATTCTGGCGGCTTGCTTGTCCGTGTGGGTGTGGGTGGCCTTAGGGACTCTCTGGTTGGGCTGTGGGCAAGAGGGCCAGAGCCGGCAGATCCTCTCCCCCTTGTCAGCTCACCAGCCTGGCAGACCCGCACTGCCCACCTGCTGAAGGGTTGCCTGCAGCTGCTGCTCCCGCACTTCCGTCTTCTGCAGGATCGACTCCCAGCAAGAGTTCATGGTCTCCAGGCGGCTGCGGAGGCTGCTGGCATCGTCCCTGGCACTGGACTCCAGGAGTTCATTGCCAGCCTTGTTCACCGTCTCCACCGTCGCTTGGTGGGCCAACACATCGTTCTTCAGCACCTGGGAAGGGGTTGCAGGTGGAGGGGAAAGCTCAGCTCAAAGCTTTGCCTTTGCAGGAGGCAGGTCAAGCTGAAGATGCCAAGAAGCCCCTCCCAGGCAGCCCCTCCTGGCACCTTCATCTACCCCAGGAGCAGAGGACCAGCGGCTGCCTCGTCCGAGCAACTAGTTCTCCTAGACCTAAAGTGCTCTGGCCCCAGCGGACTATCAGCGCCCCTGATCCTCAATGACCTCGGGGGGGGGGGGGGGGGGGCAGGCTATTCCATCGCTCTACAGCTAAAGGATCCTGGCCACCAAATGTGCATGCAGCCTCACTTCTTTCCTGACTACTTTCCAGCCACAGGTTGATAAGATGTTAAGACAGAGACCGCAGAGGTGCTGGGGGACAAACCAGGGGTGGGTGGGATTCTGCCAGTTCACACCTATTTGCTAGAACCGGTTGTTAGCATTCTAAGCAGTTCGGAGAACTGGTTGATAGAAGAAATTACTGGCCTAATCCTGTAAGGAAGGCAGGAAGGAAACATTCTGGTGTTGCTTACAGAAACTGCCTCTCCATTAACCCTAATTACATTCTTGGCAGGATTAAACTTCCTGTCTCAGGAACTTCTCTGGAGTTTTTTCCCCCTCCTTTGCTGGTATTTTGCTTGTGTGGAGTGACCATTCAAAGTTACAATGGCACTGAAAAAAGTGACCTATGACCATTTTTCACACTTACGACTGTTGCAGCATCCCCACAGTCATGAGAGGCCGGGCGAGGACATGCGTGCCTCGAAGTGGGCAATATTGAGTTGGCCACACCCAGTCAATAACATGACCACCAAGCCATGTCCACCCAGTCACATGGCCACCAAGCCACGGCCACCAAAGCCACACCCACAGAACTGGCTGTTAAAAATCTGAATCCCACCCCTGGGGCAAAACCCTAGGAACCAAAAGGAGCTGAATGGGTTCGGTCATCAAGCCAGCGCAGGGATGTGGCCCTCGAGACCCTGAAAAGCCACGTCAATCAAAGCGGAATTCTCTTCTGGGGCAGCATCCCTGCCTGAGGGCTCCATGCACTCCCCCCTTGCACTACTCACATGGTGCTTGGCCAACTCCACTTCAATGACTCTGGGGTCCCCGTTGATGGCCTTCTGGGAATCCAGTAGCTCTTCGGTGTGGGTCAACCACGCCATGAGCTCAGCCAGGGCATGCTGGAACTGGCCAAGGGCCAAGAGAGATCCCTCCAGTTTGTGCTGTTTAATGGAGAGGAGGAAGAGAATAGATAAAGGATTGTTTTAACATTCAGTGCATCTTATTAGCTTTCCCCTCCAACAAGTGCTACTCAAGTAGACTCACTATGATTTTTTTTTAACAATACAACTACAAAACTAAGAAACTTGTAAAGTTAAGAGTAGCACACCACCAAAATGCAAAAGTCAGGCTGAAAAACCAAACAGAAAGAAAGCCAACAACTGGCTAATTGATGATAGAAAACAATGTCACTGCTCAGAAAAGGAAAGGAAAGTATAAAGATTTTAAAATATTTTAAAAATATTTCATGTTTTAAATGCAAGCCTCCAGACCAGCCTCTCTCAGCTTCAGCATCTTTAAGATGTGCGGATTTCAGCTCCCAAAATTCTGCCGGCTGGGAATTGAAGTTCACATATCTAAAAATGGCCAAGGCTGGAAAAGTTTTGTTCCAGACCATGGGTGTCAAACTCGATTATGTACGTGACATATCATTAGGCATCACGACATTTTTTTGCCTTTGTGGAGCCGGGACAGGCGTGGCCCACGCATGACACTTCTAGCCCACGGGCCTCCCTGGTAATTTCCATCCGTTGTAAATTAGTCAGGACCTCTTTGCCGTCAGGTGAGGACTAGGACATGCCCGGGAGGAGCTCTTTCTTCTGGAACCAGATCCTAAACAGTAGGAGCTACCTCACCCACTCGTCCCTCCAGGTCTGCGCCATACCTGAGCTTTGCCATACCTGTCGATGAGCTATTTTTTCGCCCAGATTCTCCCAAAGATGCTTCAGTTCCGTCAGGGGCTCCCTGATGATGTCTCGGTCGGTCTCGTCTGTGGCTTTTTTGAGCAAAAGTTCTCCCTGGTGATTCAGCTTCTCCATCTCTATTTGCTGCTGGTACACTTCCGTTTTGAACTCCTGCAGAGAACACAAAACGAGGATGACGTAGAACGTGACAGCTCCTGCTATCGCCACAGATGCCTCAAGGATTGGAGAAAGGTCCTGCTCGGCCCACACACCTTCATCTCATTCAGTTGCTCTTTGACAGTGTTGAGGTCTGTGCCCACCGGGGACATGTTGCACAGTTTAATCACTGTGTTATCTAGCCAGTCAAACATGGCCTGAAAGAAGAACGTGAACACAAATGAAGGAGAAGCCAGTTAACCTCCACCCTGCCAATCCCGGCTGTTCTGGGATCCACCCCTCCCGGGTCTCTGCACAGAGGCCCCAATGCTTAAGGCTTGTCTCCTTCCAGCCTAACGAGGCTACTTGTTGCCCCAGCCAGGACATCGGTTCTTCAGCACAAGACATTACAGGTTTTACTCGGTCCCAGAGAGGAAGTTAACCTCTGCCCCCTTCCCCCATCCCTTGGCTTCCCGTTAGGTGGAGAGGGATGGGCAATCCTCAGTCCATGAAATTTACTCATCTTCCACCACCCCAAAAGCAGCCAAAGTTCTTGCTCCTGAAACTCGGCAGCAAAATGGCTGGATTTCAAGTGCAGAATTGCTGGGCTCTTCCCGGCACACTAAAACTAAAATGGGTGCGCTCGGGACCTCCGTAACCCCCTCTCGCCCCTCAAAGCCCAGAAAACGGGCACTCAAATCCAGCAGCAGTTGCTCCGTGTCACTGGCCTGGTCCTTGGTGTGAGAATGACCCAGGAGGCCTGGGCCTCTGTAATCGAGGTCTCTGCATCGCCTCCTGCCTTAGCCCTCCAAATCCCTGACCCTGCCAGGAAACATCCTAAGGCCAAGAGGTCCAAAGGGTGCCCAGAGAGGCTGCTGCTCCTTTCAGTCCCTCGGGCCTCACCTGCAGGTTATCCTGATACTGCACTGCGCTCTGCATGGCCTCCTCCAGCTTCTCCAGCCTCTCCTTCCAGGTTCTGTTCAGCTGCTCCCAGGCACTGTTCATCTGCAAGGACAGGAGGAAATGCACAGCTCCGGCACAATTTGCCAGGGTGGGTGCTGGTGACAGGGCACTGGGGCAAAGGGGCCCCAGGTCAGTGGAGAGCATCTCTGGACCTCTGACCGCCAGGCCCCTCCTCCCTCTAGGCGGATTGGGAGGAGTCCTCCACAGGTGCCCATTGGGCCTCACTCTCCCCACTCCAATACCCAAGTCTGAAGTGACTGTTAGCTACCTCATCAATGCTTTTCTTAACCTCTGGCTTCTCCGTCTCCCCACAGGCAAAAATCAGATCGGCCCCGAGGATTCGGATGAATTCCAGTTCTTCATGCAAACCGTCTGTCTCTTCCTTGATGGTCTGCAGGGGAGGATCAAGAAACAGATGACTACAATTTGGCTCCTAGAGCAACTCACACGTATCAGCAACGGTGTTTCTGAAATTGTGTCGACAATTAGACTTAACTCTGGAGTGTGATGCTTGTGGAGCAATAAATACCTTTGCTATAGGAAAAAACAATACAAGGTAGCACCCAAATGGGTAAATACATCAAAGAATGGGATATTTTCAGGTTTTTTTACCAAGTCATTTTCACTCTGTGGGTCGTTATTTTAAACCTGTTATATGGAAGAAAGATTCTACAGTTTATTCTTAGAAAAGAGGTCACCGCCTATTGAAACAGGAAGCTAACCGGAACAACGTCTGTCTTTCCAGGAGGACCCACCAAATACGGTTCCACTGATTGTTCTGAATGAAGAGGCATCCATCCCTTCATAAACCTTCTGCCAAGCCTACATTTCCCTCCCGTGGCCACCACGGCCTGCTGGAAGAACTCAAGTTAGGCACAATGGGTGGGAAAGGACGGAATTTCTTCGGCCTTCCTACCTCGGCTGCTTCGATCTGCTGTTTGATGATCGATGGATCAATCCCAGGACTTTCCAGGTCATGGACAATGTCTTGGGTGTCCCGGATGGTGGTTAGGAGGGCAGCCATGTCGTACCAGAACTTTTCTGCCAGCTCCAGGACGTCAAGGAACTTGATCTCACGCTCCTCGGCCCGAGCTTTGATGTCTTCCCAGAAAAATACCATCTGATCCAATTTATCCTGGATGTCTGAAACAGAGCAGGGAGGATTAAACCCCCCACAAACCCCCAGGGGAAAAAAAACCGCACGTTCTGTGCCAGGAAACATGTGTCTCTCTGCATCTCGGGCCAGCCCAAGGCAGAGAGGCCACGAGCCCGCCCTGCGCTTCAAGCGGTTCCAGGGCCTTACTTTTGGCTGCTAGGTCCCGGTCTGCTCCTTGGGATCGCCTGATCAGCTCCTCTCCCCGGCGCTTCAGACCTTCGAAGGATGGCTGCAGCTTCTCCAGCTCCAGCGTGGCATTTTTGTTGTCCCCAATGCACTCACGGATCTTTTCCACCTCGGCTGGGATCAAGGGAGGCATGCGCAGGCGGGAGGAGAGGCTCTCCAGCGTCTCCAGCATCGGCTCGATCTTGTCATGGAACTGAAGGGAAGGAATGGCCACAGTGAGGGTGGCCCTTGTGCAAAGGGGCACGTTGGCATCTTAGCTGCTTTGACTGGTCCTCCTTAGTTCCCATGCTCTTCTTCTCTAAGCACCATCTTGGCAAATTCTTCCGGAACGTCAGATATTTTAGGGAATGACTGATTCCAAGACACAGTTTTTTGCAAAACTGGTTCTGTGACTAAGAGCAAATTGTGAATTCAAGTACTTCATGGCATTGGTTATGCCAAGCGTGGTCTCTTGCCCACTCTCTCTGTTTTACACACACACACACGCACACTTATGATCTGCTAGGAATCTGGGAAGGAACCACTGTCCTGCTCTTGAAGGCCTGAATGTATTATGGATATAAGTTAGGGAATTAAAACGAGAACGAAAGCCCAGCCAAGAACTATGTCAGCGACTCCCAAACCTCTAAGCTCTGGATGGCAAGTGTGTGCCCCTGCTCGGGTCTTTTCCTAATCAAACCCATTTCCCTTCTGTGAGGAGGAGCATTCAACCCACTCAGGCCTGAAGGGGCACCTGCCCTCCGAAGCCCCACTGCTGATGGTTCCTGTGGCCGGCCTGAATTCCAAGGCCACCCACCCTGGGACAGGGAGCAGCGAGGGGGCCTGGAAGCCAACCACTTCAGCCGTGTTGAAAAGGAGATGTACTGAGAGGAACCAAATATTTGGGCCTTCCTTCCCCACTCCAGAATTGAGTACAGTAACCCCCCGTTAAGCTAATCTGTTGCTGGGCAGGATTATGGCAGAGGGCGGGCACGCTCTGGCTTCTCTAGGGAGCTCTCCGTGGATGGGGGGCTGGGGGCGCTCAAGGCAGAGAAAGGAAACTTTGGCTTCAACGGAAGCGCCAGCGAGACAGGCGAGCATTTTGTTCCCTGACACCTTTGCCTTCTCCAGGACTCACGGTCTCTTCGAGGAGGGTGTGTGTGTGAGTGTGTGAGTGTGTGTGTGTGTGTGTGTCAGTAAGGTGGTCCTGTCGTTGTCTCCAAACCAGGGGCAGCAGCGGCAGATGACACACCTAATCTAGGCAGCTGGGGAGTTTTTCACACCTCTAGCTCAGCGTTCACCCTGAAGGCTCCCTATTCCTGGACTCTGGTTGTTGTTGTTGTTTTTTGCTGTCCTCGAGCTGGCGGGACGGAATTCTAGAGGGGCTTCCAGGAGGGAAAGAGGAACATCTTCCCATGAAGGTTTTTGGGGGCTAATTCAGAGGGCAGGAAGTGCGATGAGGGGATCCTTACCTCTGCAATCTGTCATGGTGGAGTCAACACAACAATGAATGGTGACGAGCACGCAGGGAAGGCGGTAAATGGGCACCGAGAGAGACAACGGGGGAGACATTCCACAGGGGGAGGGTGATGAGGGGGGGGGGGGAGGAAAAACTCAGCGTTAATGTGAGGGTAAACTGAAAGGAGCAGAAATGACTAAAATAATATAAAAATACATATCCTAGAACGACTTTCAAAGATGTGACACAGAACAAAACCCAAAGTAACAGCATTATCAACTAACAAGACAAGTTGACATGAAGGGACAACAAATGGGGTTTCTTGCATGTATCCAAAACACTGAAGTGCCCAAAAGGAAATTAAATAAATCTGATTTTAAAAATCTGCACCACCCCCACGCCTCTGTTTCTATTCAGAATAGAATTTGTTTGCCAAACCTCCCTTGCCTCCACCAAGACCTCCGAGAAGGGGCCTTCTAGCCCTCTGACTCCATGTCCCCTAAGGCGGCTTCCATACCCGGCTGCTCCTACTCCCAGGAAGGAAGCCAGAACTTCCTGCCCAAGCCCAGAGGTGCTTCTGCTGGAACCCGACTGCCTGCGGCTTCCCCTACCCGATGCCTCCTTCCGGTCCGGCTCCCTTCTCTGCCCATTTGCCTTCCAAAGCACGGGTGTTACTTGGCACGGTGGGCGGTTTGGCTGCAAAGAGCTGCCCGGCAGAGGCTGCCCTAGGGGCCTACTCTGGCAGCCAATGGTGGGGGAGGGGCTGCCCACCTAAGGCCAAGCACTCCTCCCACCCCCGCTGCTTCATCTGACCGCAAGCAGCACCTTCGGCAAGTGCAGCCCTGGGGCGAAGGGTGCGGGCTCCCCCAAAGAGGCTCCCTTGATTCTACCTCTCCCCCTCGGGAGCCCCCACGTTCCCCCTCCCATCAGATCCTGCCCCGGACGTGTTCCCAAACCTGTGTGGACTGGGAGATGGCCTCATCGAGGGCCAGAGCCCGCTGGTGGACCTCTTCCTTGATGTGGGAGTAGGCGGCTTCTGCGGCAAAGTACTTCCCCTGCACCATTGCCCCCTCCTCAGGGTTCAGCTCCGTCAGTTGAGGGCCAATTTTCAGCAGCTTGTCAATGTGGGGCTTGTGTTCGGCAATTGATTCCCGCAGTTGCTACCAAGAAAAAAATATCTAGTATAGAAAAAAATCAACCTTGGGATGCAATGACCCCAGGAGCACGAGAGGAAACACTTAACGGCCGGCCAAAGTATGTACTGGCTCTGGAAAATAAAGCATTGCTATATATAGTCAATTATTTGCTCTGAGTTTCAGAAACTGTCACAACTTCAGTCGAGAATTACTGAGCAAACTGGAAAGCCCAGCATACACGTCTATTGCGGACAATATGGACATGCAAGTTCAGCAAAAAAACCGGGGCCTCCGTTCTCTCCCTCTTTAAGCACAACATCCATATTGGTGCCCTAGTTATTCTTCGTTTTAGTCCCAGAATCTGCCAGGGTTTGGCTCAGGCCATACATTCATACAGTGCAGACCACGTTTGAGTTCATCACAATGCCCAGCTGATCCGAGGCCCCAGGCTGGTACCCTCCAGCAGGCCCGGCCAGCGAACCCAACGAGCAAGCCTCAAGTCAGCCAGCGGAGCCTTCTTCCCCGCTTGTTGCCCGGGCAACCTCCTGCTTCTCTGGGCAACTGCGTCCCATCACCATACAGGCTGGCTTGCCAGATCCTGGTGTCACTTCCCACCCAGCAGAACCACTCAAAGGCCTCTGCTCAGGAGGGGGTTGTTTCACAGCCCCACTCAAACCAATGTAACCAGGGGTCCCTTTCGCAGCCATGCAGACTCAACTCGGCATTTCCCGACGGCGCACGGACACCCCCTTAGGCCCAGTTACCCTCATATCTTCCTGCTGCTGCTTGAGGTGCTCATGGTCGATTGCTGGAGGCGGCAGCTGCCCAATCAGCACCTGGGTCTCCTCAAGCCAAGGACTAAGCTCTTCGTAGGTCTCCCAGAACTGGTTGACCAGGACCTGGGCCCGTTCCAGGCGGGCGTAGCGTTCAGAGTGGAGGTGGCTGGTCTCCTCGTACTGCTCCAGAAGAGACTCGGTCTTCTCCTGAGGAAGAAGGGCAGAGTTGGGGGCAGGCCAATGGGCCTCCATCCTCCAAAGCGTGGATTTCCCAACCGCCCCGCAGCGTTTCCGAGGCCCCGAGGTCTACCTGCAGCATGACTTTCTGCTCCTCTCCACAAGTTCCCAGAATCTCCGTTCGCTGGCTGAGCAATTCATCCACAGAGTCTTTGTGACGGATGATGTCGACGGAGAAGGCCTGCATGAAAGAAAACCACGGCAGCAGAGCTGAACTCTAAAGCCCAAGCCATGGCTGGGCCTCCCTCCACCCGGCACGCTCCTCCTGTCTGCCCTGCTTCCTCGGTGCCCCTGGCTAGCTAAAGACACCCTGTCCATGATTGTTGTCATTAAAATGCACGTTGCGTTTCCCACACAACGGGGCCCAATGGACCTCTCGAGGGTTGCAAATCCCCGCAGTTCTTCTCCGCTGCCTGGGAAACATCCCGCTCTGCCGTCCCTCTTCCTTCACCCAGCCCCCCCCTCTGCTCTCCCCCTGGACTTCCCTTGGCCTCCAGCAGCCGAACTCTGCTCTTCCAATCCAGGAAGGCTGCCATCCCTTCCCCGTTGCGTACCTTCTGCACCTGCAGCTGGGCAGTGGTCTGGTCCTGCTCCAGCCTGACTGGGCCAAGCGCCAACAGCTTCCGCCTGGTCTCAGCAACCCAGGCGAGTTCCGCATCGGCTGCCTGCTCGTACTGTCAGAGAAGAGAGCACAGCCGAGTTAGCATGGGAAACTCGCTGGTGAAAGGCGGCGATGATGCAGCATCAACAAAGCTGCACGCGCCAAGTACACCGGATCTGGGCTGGGGAAAGCAAAGGTGCTTCAACTTGAATGCTGCACCCTCTTGGTACCTGCCAGCCTTTCCTTAAACGAACAATACCTCTTCAGGAAATCCCTCTTTGAGTTCAGGTGGCAGCAATGGCGCTCACCCACTCCTTAATGTTTCCTGAACGCCCACATGCATTGGGTGGAACTGCAAGCTCAGGAAATGGCATGGAGCGGTTAAGGACCTGCTGAGAGGTACAGGGAGATGACCTCCCCCCGCTCTGGGACCTCTTAAAGAGGCCGGGCATCGGGAGCACTAGGGGGTAGTAAAGGCAGTGCTGCGGGAGGGCAAGTGAACTCCAGCCTGGTTGGTGCTGCATGCCAGGAAAGCAGCTGGGGCAAACCTTATGGAAGGGGAAAAAGCAACAGGGCCCCCAGTCATATAATGGCCGAACGATCCGTCCACAAGAGACCCAACTTTTATTGTGGGAGAGACTGGAAGCTGCTTGCCTCCCCCCAGCAGGTCTTCTGCTGTCCTCAGAATGCGTGAGGCCCAAAGGTTCAAACTCTTTCGCTCCGGGCATTTTATCCCTCAACCCACGAAAACCTCCTTCAAAGGACAAATCCTGCTCAGGGTCCTCAGCACACTGCATAGCCCTCGAGGAGTTCCCCGGCCCTAGGAGATCCCCGGTCGGGCCTGAGACACCGGGAGGGAGTTCAAAAGCACAGAAACGTGTGGCAAACGGGCTGTCGTCCCTGGTGCCGGGATTGTGCGTTAATGCGGGGTTTCTGAGGACTGGCTTAGGTGGTGGGGCAGAACAACCTGCACAAACCTCATGCTTGGGCACACCACCCCGAGAGCGGCGTCTGCATCGCCAGGGGTTTGCCGTGAACTGCCAGCCTACCTGCTGAGACCTTTGGATGGCAGCATCTATCTCCGCCACCCGCTGGTTGATGGTGTCGCTGGTTGCCTTGTACCGCTCGTTGGCATCTGAGACCAGCTTATCCAGCCCTTCGCGGGCTCGCCAAGGAACCAGTTCAAGGAGGGCGTGGCTGACTTCATTCACCGTGTCCAGGATAACCTGATGCTCCATCACCTCCTTCTTTAGTTCCTGGGGGGAGAGGCGGCCACTCTCGGTGATTGTGCCCTCAGGCTGGGCCAGGCTTGCTGGTCAAGTGACCAAATCCGGCCTCAGAGCTCTTTCCAGGGCAAGGAGAGAGGCAATATTGTGGCCGCTCTTCCTGCGGAGAACGAGGGAACACCCTCCCTGAGAAGCAGGGGCCCGGGGACACGGCTCCCCTGGAAAGCCCCTTACCTTCTGCCTCTGCTGGAACCGAGGGATCTGCTCGCCCGCGGGGGAGGGTCCTCCCCCAGACCTCAGCTCCTCTTCCACCTGACCCATCCAGCCCGTCAGCTCTTCGTGGGTCGACTGGAACTTGGTGGCCAGCTGCCGGGCCTGCTCCAGCGTGCGGAGAGCCTTTGAGCTGGCAGCGGTGATGTCCGAGTAGCGGGTCTTGATGCCGTCCAGCTTCTCTTGGATGAGCAGCACCTCTTCCCCTGCAGGAGATCCCCAAGGGTTTGGCTTGGAAAAAAACGCCATCTACTGTTGGCCCAGAGGGTAGTAGGGTGCCCTCCCGCTGGCCACCCACCCTCCCACCCACACAAACTTTTGGGCACCTGTGTCCTGCACAGTCCTGGTTGTGGAGAAATGTGGGTGGGTGCAGGTGTGGCGTGGCGCAGGCAAGGCGGGTGCGGCCATTGCCTGGCATCTTTCCCTCTCCTACCTGTGGTTTGTTTCAGGAGGGCCTGCCCGTTCTTCATGGCCTGGTCAACGTGCTTCTTGCGGTTCACAATCTCATCATTCAAAGCCTGGGGGGGGGGGGGGAAGGGAAAAAGGCCACGCTCAGAAAGCTCCCTGGAAAAGATCTGAGGGCTTTGTGAGGGACCAAAGCAAGGGATCTGGGGGGTTTTAAATGCTGCTTATCCTTGCTCTATTATCTTCACAGATGGTTCCTTTAGTACACAAATAGAGCTAAACAACTCCCATCAGAGCAAGCAAATTGAATCAGCACACATTGCAGGTAGATGGAGTCTGCCCAAGAGACTTGTGTCTAAGAGAGAGAGGGGGAGGGAGGGAGGGGGAGAGAGAGAAAGAGAGAGGGTGTGGGGGGGCGGCTTTGAGCAGCAGGTGCAGCCAGGGTAAAACAGATGCCTTGAACAGGCCACAAGGCAGGCCAAACAGGGGAGTCTCCTGAGAAGAGCCCAAGACGGAAGGCTTAGGGCGCAGAGCTACAACCACCTGGTCAAGGCCAGAGCTTCAGAAGGAAGGCCTGTTGGATCCTTCTACTATCCACCCTGCTAACAGAACCATTCCTTGGCTTATTGCTGTCCCAGGTAACAGGTCCACCTGAATTCACCAGGGGGCTCCTATTCTCACCATACCCCTGACCCTCTAATGTACAGAAGGTCGTTCCCCATGGACTGTTGTCTCCCTCAAGGCCACAGTCACCAGGGCCAGATGTCACCCCTTCCCACCCCCACCTGCAGACTTTCCTTTTTCCTTCTCTGCAGAAACGAACGGCTGCAAAGAAGGAGAGCTGCAATAGGCCCCAAACTGTCCTTCGGCAAGAGGCCGGACTGTGAGAGGAAGGCTCTTCAGAGGGAGAAAAACAAGACTGCTGCTTCGTCCTTCGTCCTTCAATGGAGAGGCCAGAACCAAACCGTCCACGCAACTCCCCTGCGGATCCCCGGGACTGTGTCCCCCCCGCCCCCTCGCGAGAGGACTGTGCCAGTGGGAGCAGATGGGCCCCCCCGAACCTGTGTCCCTCCACCCCTCCTAGCTCTGATTTGGCGGAGAGCAAAATGAAACGGTTCCAATCAACAGGGACAGGGAAGCAAAATAAACACAATCATGAAAGATGGATTACTACCAGCTGGCCAGAGTGTTGCTGCTGCAGGACCTCTCGTCTGTAATCCTTGACGGACACCAAGCTGAGCTTGTCCTCAACCTCGGCCAACCAGTTGAGCACCTCCACTTCGTCCTCCCCAAAGAGCCGGGCGTTGGACAACGCCTGATCGAGGAGGGCCGCCTTCCGGCCGCATCGGTCACAAACCTCAGCGTACCGGGACTCAAGCAGGTCCAGCTTCTCAGCCAGGGAGGCCTGCTCAGCGTGGCAGCTGAGCAAGGCCAGGGAATGGCCAATGCTGACCACCTGAGTCACCGCCGTAGCCTGACTGTCTATCTCCTCCTCTAGTGCCTGGAAATCCAGGAGGTTTAAGGGGAAGAACAAAAGAGGGAAAAAAACAAACAAACAAGCAAACAGAAATGCATGGTTGATAAATGGAAAACGTAAGGTGGGAAAATTAAAACACAACTGAATGGTGAATATGACTGAAAATTGTGTAGATGCTAAAATACCATTTACTAAAATAATAGTTTCAACAAAACAACTATAATAACAAAAATTAAAAAAAAGATGGGTTTTCTTTTTCAGGTATCCATGTAAGTATTGAGACAGAATATACCACAACTTTTTTAAACTGCTTTTTAAAATGATGATTACTAGCTTGTTTTGCAAATGGTGGTAATTCAGCATTTTAAACCACGGTTTGTTGAATAAGCTATCACAACCCAGTGTGTATTTAATGCTAACAAATAACAGGCACGTATCTATGGAAACATTTATAACTGTTTCCTAGGAAAGGAGAAAAAGGCGGAGCTCCTGAGGCCACGGCCAGGGACGCCTTACCCGGCTGGACAGGGGAGCCCCGGTGGTGGGGCCCCGAGGGCTTCCCTTAAGCCAAGAGGAACTCCACCAACAGGGCCAGCCGATCCAACTCTCCATGGTCTTGTCAAGGAGCCAGCCAAGCACAGATCCTGCCCCTTGGATACAGATGTGCTGAGCTTGCCACTGCCCAGAGGGACCGGCCCAGATGTGCAAGGAACAGGCAGGGGGGCCTGGGTTACAGTAGGGCTGAATGGGCACTGTGAATGGGCCTCGCATGCCTGGGAAACGGAACAGCCACCTGGGGGGCAATGGCTGTGTTGACCCCCCTTGGTTCTCCTGAGGGCTTTGACTGCTCTCTTCAGTGACCCTTCCCTGACCAGCCTCCGTTGACCAAATGAAGCCACGCCCCCTGCTTGATGGCACCGTGGAAAAGGTGGCATGGATGAAATGACGATGCTGTGACTTTTCTGGGGAGCCCCAGCCACGGCTGAGAGAGGGGGATCCAATCACACCAGTGAAATCTTGCTCAGATTATGTGATGGAAGGAGAGAAGAGCAGGCAACGTGGCTGCAGCATGTCTACGAAGGCACACGCAACATGCGGCTACTACAGGACACGCTTGAAGATAAGCTGCCCTGCCATCTTTGACGCTTTCTGGGCAGACATCCAGGATACCGAGGGCCGATGGCCCACCTCGCCTGGACATTGATAGGCTCTCCACTGGACCCTGTTAGGGCAACGGCTGCCCAGAGTCACTTTAGAGGGGAGATTGGCAGCATAAAAATTTAATAAACAAACAAACGAGCCTCCAAGCACTGAAGGCCAACCTTGGCCTTTTGCCTTCTCGGCCTTGAACCACGCTGCATCGTCTGTTCTCACAATCCCCCAGAGCCCCACTCAGAAATCTCCCTTCCCAGCCGCAGAATCTGTGCCTGGTGCCCCCCTAACCGTTTCCGAACTGCTTGGCAACCACTTGCCCACCTTGTGCCGCGCAATCTGCTGCTGGATTTTGGCAGTCTGAGTCCCGATGGGCTCGGAATTGGCCAGTTTCTTTTCAGTCACTGACAACCACTCAGAGATGGGTTCGGAAGTCTCGTGGAACTGCTTGGCCAAAACCAGGATTTCCTCTAGCTGACTCTGCCTGTGGGAAGGAAACAAAACCGTGCAGAAATCAACGTCTGTGAGGCAACGGAAGATTCCTGGTGAGGCTAATTGAGAGCCATGAACAATTAAAGCTGTTCCACGCATTCTGTTATGTCCCATTACAGTTCCCTAATCTGGCCAGGAAAGCAGATTAAGCCATGAGGTATTCTCCTGTAGCACAACACCTGAACCTGGGGAACAATTAAATTGTGGAAAAACAGAACGTCTTGCTGCTCTATTTTTCTTCTCACTTTGGCCAAATGCTTTAGCATTTTTAGCTAATGCTTTAGCATTTATTTTTAAAAGAGGTTGGAGACCAGTGAGCCTCACTGAAAATTACAATGAATAATTTTAAATACACTGAAAATAAACAGAGCTGGAAGTAATACAATCTTCTTCTAGCACAGTTGTTAGGACCTTTGGATTGTTTGGAGGAAGGAGGAGCAGCCTAAATCTCTATGCCTGTTGGTGTGACTGTCAGGGGCGGCTCAGAGAAAGTGCACAATGGGAGCCACAGATGTGGATTCCCACGTTCCAGAGCCCATAGAAACATATGAGGTCATCTTAAAAGGAAAGGAAGATTGCAACTAAAATCAATACTTTAGCAAATTTGATCAAGAAATTAATGCAAAGACAAGCTGGTTACTCCAAATTCGAGTCCCCAAAACTGGAAGGAGCATGAAGCCCTTTCATCATTTTGTGGTCCTTGAATCATGTGGCCATTGAATACTGCAAATGGATGGCCGAATTTCTTGCAACCCTGATGTGGATGGAAACTGCAAAATCCCCAAACTCCGACAAAAACCAGCTCCACTAATATGTAGATTATAGGGTCTCTTCCTTTCCCATCCTTGGCCTGTTTTAGTTGGTCCTGTCCCAGTTCTCCTGTGTAACATGTAGCTGGACTTCAGTTTGAGCCCTGATTCCTCTTTAATTAGAGGCGGCAGGCACAATCAGACATTTCCTTAGAAATTAGCCATGGAAGAAGTTGAAATTCTTAAGGAAGTGAGAGGAAGAATAGAAGGAAACCTTTCACTGGTCTTCAGTAAGGAAATGCTGATGACCAAAAACGTCAACATGGTATCTATCGTTCAGGGAAAGGATGAATTAAGAATGACGTATGGATGAAACAAATAAAAAAGTCATCACCTGTTCATGGCATTCAACTGGGAATTTTAGGAGATGGGAAAAGAAAAGCCAAACTAGCAGGAGCTAGAAAATGACAGGCAGGTGAGGCTATTATCTCTCCAAGGAGATAATCTTGAACGGTAGAACTGTTAATAACAATTCAGTTACTGGAAAGAAGGGCAAGAAGAAACTCAAGACAGCAGAAGACAGGAAGGAAAGATCTTCTGACAGCCTTTCAACGCTCTATTATTGGATCCTGTAATCATGAAGAGTCCTAGGCCGTCCTTAGGTGTCTCGTCCCTGACCTGGCCTACTTTAAAAGGCTGGACCCGGAAGGCATAATTAAAGGTCGAGAAGTTAAGCCAGGGATACCCTACCTGGGGGGGTTGATGAGCACACGGAGCCCTCACAGCAAGTCCGAGGACCGCTCTCACAAGATGGCGGGGAGGGTGGATGCCCTCCCTCCCTACTTAATTCTACACCGTGTTTCTGCATGTTGAGCCACAAAACCCTCACTGAGCAGAGGTTCCCCCCCACTGCCTCTAATGTCTGTTTGCTGAGCAGGTGAGTGGCCTTCCAGTTCAGGCCTCCTCCTTTACAAGGTTCCATCTTAGGCCCAGGACTCTACAATATCTTCGTAAGTGACTTAGATGAAAGTGGAGATCATCAAATTTGCGGATGATACTAAACTGGCAGCCAAAAGAGCCAATACAATCCTTGGTTGTATAAACAGAGACACAGAACCAAAATCCCATGAAGTATTAAGTACCACTTCATAAATCCTTAGTAAAGCCACACCTGGAACAGGGCATCCGGTTTTGGTCACCACATTATATAAAAGATGTTGAGACCTTGGAAGAAGCGCAGAGAAGAGCAACTCAGGTGATTGAAGGCCTGAGGACTAAAAGGCTGCAAGATTTGGGTATGGCCGGTCTAGAGAAAAGAAGGACTGGGGGGGCGGGGGAGGCACATGATAACAGTGTTCCTCTGTTTGAGGGGCTACCACAAAGAAGAAGAGGGTGGGGGTCAAATCATTCTCCAAAGCCCCAGAGGGCAGGACAAGAAACAACGGATGGAAACTCATCCAAGAGAGGAGCAACCTGGAATGAAGGAGAAACTTCCTCACAGGGAGGACAATCAACCAGGGGAACCACTTGCCTCCAGAAGCCTCGTGGGGGCTCCATCACGGGAGGTTTCTAAGAAGAGACTGGACAGCCACCTGTCCGGAATGGCACAGGGTCTCCTGCTTGAGAAGAGGGCTGGACTAGAAGACCTCCAAGGCCCCTCCCAGCTCTATTCTTTTCAGGGGCAATTGTGGTGATTTGGAAGTCATAGCTTCTTATTTTGAACCTTTCAATTAAAAGAATTAAAACACAAAAGGCACGAGACAAGCTTTCTGGTGGGCACCAAAGGAAGGGAAACACCCAGGGGCCACACCTTCCAGATCTATGTTCAGCCACGGAGCAACACGTTTTGCTGCTCTGTCCTCTGGAGTCCTTTCAGTGGTGCAACCCGGCCAAGAGAATAGACATGAACAGCCAAGGGACAAAATAAATAAATAATAACAATTGTAGGACAAGGGGCAGTAAGTGGCTATAGAGCAGGAAATGGAGTGTGGGAACTGATATTAGAGGGAAGCAAACTACGGGGTTCCTGAGGAAACTGTCCCAGAAAGAGGGTAGATCACTGTGAGGAATTATCAGTGTTAGCGGTTAGTTATGAAACTGCAGAGTTGGAGGAAGGCAGCAAAATTATCCGGGAGGTGAAAACTCCAAAGACTTGCAAAGAAACCTGGGTTAACAGAAGCCGTTCAAATTAAGGGTCCACTGCGTTGGGTAACTGCAAACTGGAGTAGTGCAGGGAGCTACGAAAGAAGCAAATTCTACCTCCGTGAAAATAAAACTACTAGTGTTGTAACCTTGACATAGTTCTGTGACATGAAGTTCCACCTCTGTTTGCTTGGCCTCTCCAGAAATCGGTGCCGCGGAGTTGGAAAAATGACCCCAAAGGGCACACACAGAGCAATTAGGTGAACGGGAATCTGTCATCCATAATCTAGCGTCCTCCAGAGGGACTGGATTCAAATCCCCAGCTCCCAGAGGCAACATAAGTGGCCAACATTTTAAAGTCCTTTGCGTGTGGAGGGCCCTGGGGGAGGAGGGAGGGGATTGAGTGAAAAAAATTCATGGTGTGACAGACTCTCTAACCAGTGAAATTGATCAGCTCTGGGTTCAGGGTTGGCAAATCATGGGGAAGGGCAGCTTCTGATGGGCTTGCTGAAAACTCCCCTCCAGCCAGGGATGCCCTGCCTGGCTCTCCTCAGTGGGTTTCTACCAGCAGAGCACGTGCAGCCCTCCTGCCTTGCCCTTAAGGGCTTGATTTCTGAATGGGGAATATTTGGAGGGAGGCCGGATTCGCTTGAGGACATGGTTGAGAGCAGAGCTTGCCCGAAATCTCTAAAATCCCTGGCAGAAAGAAGCATTTCTCAGCTTCTCCGGAACTGTCACAAGGAAGGGGCCGGCTTCAGGCTGAGCAGCAAATTATTCCGGAGGATGCCTGGGCCCCATTCAGAAACAGCGCAGAAGCAGACTGGCAGAGAGGAATCCCATTGGAACGGGAAGGAGGTGAGGTTGACGATGCGGCTGGAGCTGGTCCTCAGGTCACCTGGGCTGAAGCCCCAAAAGGCTTCCTGTGGCAAATGACACTGAGCCAGAAACCACTAAGCGCTGGTGCAATACTTGAGCACCACCTCTGGAAGCATCACACAGCACCTGCTGCCACACTCTGGGCTTGTTCGGGCTTTGAAACCACCCCCATCAAGCTCTGTTCTCCCTTGCCTTTCAGCAAAAGCCCACAACCCCCATCACTGCTGCCCGGGGGTGGGATTCAACTGGTGTTACTATCGGTTCAGTGACTACGTTTTGCGTAGAACTGTCCCAAAGTCACCCACCTGGCTTTCATGCCCAAGGCAGGACTGCATTCATTCACTCATTCACTCACTCATTCACTCACTCTCTCTCTCTTTCACACACACACACACACACACACACAATTTCTAGGCCAGCACCCTCCTGCTCACTACAGTATAAGTCTTAGTAGGATGTGCTCAATTATTTTCATCCTTAAAGTGCTCCAGAGTTGCTCAGACACCCTGTCCTTATGCTTCATGGCCGCATCACAGCACCTGCCACAGGGCAGGATTCTTAGCAATCGCGGTTTCAAATTCCTGAAAGATTTTATCCTTTATGCCTCCATCAGCCCATAACATTACTTTATAGGTCAATACTATCAGGACTCTTGGCTGGCATGTCGGCAAGGAAATGCAAGCATGTATTTCCAAGAACAAACAGGGTCATTGTAGAAAAGCTAAAGAAGAAGCCAGAGACTGCTGAGAAATGCAAGAGCTACTCAGAGCAAAATCAAGGTGCAGCTTCTCGCACACAATGTAAAGCAGAGAGATTGTCCTTTTCGGCTGGAGCAACAATTTACAGCTGTCTCCTGTTTTAGTACCAACTTGTCTGGTGTCCTGCTTTCTGCTTGTGGCAGGATCACAGGTATATTATGCAAAAGTCCAGCCTTTTGAGTGAACTAAATGGAAAGACAGATGTAACTAAACTTATACTGCACACGGCTTAAATCGTGCAAGGAGGGGACCCGGTTGGCAGGCTCAGCTGAAGGGCCCTTTCTGCAGCTATTGCACAGAGTGGATCTCTGAGGTCCTTGGTAAATCTTGTGGATCCTCCAGGTCTTCTACACACCAGAGCTGCACTGGGAGCTTTATATCTCCCTTTCTAGGAAGGGAGAGAAGAAAGGTGGGAGTTCTCTAAACGGAGTGGGCTTCCTTCACTCTTCTCTGCCTAGCTTTGCTTTCTAGGTGAATCTCTGTGCCCTGGTTTCACCTAACAAGGAAGAAGCATTTTATGTTTGACATAGCATCCTATTCCGGGGAAAGATTCTGCCCTCCATGCCAAAGGAAGTAGAAGCAAAGCAAGATGGCAAAATCTGAGCCGCAGGAAAGATGTCCCCGCAGGTCGAAATCCACAGTCTCACTGAAGTAAACCAGAAAAACTGTTTTAAAAGAGCAGATTTCAGCCTCACTTGCGACACGCAGCTGCAACATTTCACAGCGTGGGAAGAAGACTGGCCAAGAAATCCACGGCAATTCTGATGAACCTCAGGATTAAAAGAACCGTTTCACGGCATCCTTGCCCCAAGTGCAGAGGTCTTGAGTTAAGGAAAGGCAGAGAAACATAAAATCCATGTGCCCTGCCACAGGGTGATGGCAGAGCGAGGCACAACCGACGGGTGTCTGGCGTTTCCACTCTTGGCTTACCTGGCTGAGGCTTTGCTGAGAAGGCTAGCCCAGTGGCTTCCCAGGCTTGTCAGCTGGCCGACGATTTTCTCCCTGTCTGCTGGCTCAGCTGACCGGGCGATTCTGTCGCCTTCGGCTTGGATCATGTCAACAGTGGCTTTCCGGTCGTCCAGGAGACGCTGCAGCAACTTTGCAGAAGGTCCAGAGAAGAAGGAGCATTTACCACTTTCTCCCACTTGCACAACTCATAGTAGCTCATGTTATACTTTTATTATAGAAACTCCTTGCTAGGTCGGTATTTTATCTCACCCACTTCATTGATTTACATGTTGTATCTTTTAAAATCCTGCTCATTATTGACCCAATTCCCCTTTTGCCAACTCTCCCAGCTGCAAGCAATGCGGATGCCAAGGGCGGGTTCCTGTTCCCCCCCCAGCACGGTGGCTGCCTTGCTTTGGATCTGCTCCCATCTGGGGGCCCCCTCCTCCTCCTCCTCCTCCCTCCCCCGCCATTTCTACTCACCTTCTGCTCCTGGATCTGAGCCTTCACCACTTTGTATTCAGCCGAGGGGGGCTTCTGGTTGGAGATGAGCTCCTCGGTGTCAGCCAGCCAGCTGAGCAGAGGCTCCAGGGCGTCCTGGAACTTCCCACAGTGGAGCAGGGCTTCCTGCAGCTGGGCAATCCTCTGGGCCACCTGCGTGGGGACAGCGCAGGCACACCCATCGCTCGAGGAGCTGCCCCTGCTAGCCGGGGCCTCTTTCGGCCAAGAGCAGTTGCAGAAGTTAAGCTCCTTTCGTCCTCCTGCCCCCCTTGAGAGGCGGGAGAGCCTTTCCCTTTGGCGTCCCAGTCAATAGGATCTCCTGGGTTCACATCTTCCTTGTTAAGTCACCCCTCTCCTCCTTTCTCTTTCTTGCTTGGCAACACCACCACCCCTTCCCCACTGTACACATTGGGGGCTCCTGTTTTTGAAACAGCCTCTTCCAGACAGAGGTCAGAATTGCACCCAGGGGGTTGGCTGGAGGGGGCACAGGGGGTGGACATGTTTGCTACCCCCGTTTTCTAGTATGACCAGTAGCTAGAACAGGGATGCAGCCAAGCAGAGAAAGGAACGGATATTGTTATTATGGTCGCTGACTAGAATTGCGAACAAGCCCATTAAAAATCAAGTAAAAATGAAACAAGGGGGGAAAAAAACTACAATTGGTGGTGGATCTGACAGTGGGTTCTCAGCAGAGAAACGGAGGCTCAGTTCTCAGCTCCTGCTCAGGATCGGTCAGCGTTTATGGTCAGGGCCTCTTCCGTTGGCAAATGGGCCCTTCAAACACTGAGTTCGTAGCACAGAGAGCGACAGAGACGAGGGCTCTGGGCAGGTCCTGCGCTGCAAACTCTTCCACTCCATCCCAGGGGACCATCCACAGGCTATTTCCCAACTTTTCCACCAGGGAACTCAGCAGCATTTGGAGGTCAGTCCAGACCGTGGTGCCTGCGCAACGCTTACCTTTTTGTTGAGGGTGTTCCATCGGGTGCTGATCTCTTCCATGTCATGCTCCAAGCCCTGGACGTCACAGTTCTTGCCCGCACTCTGGACAAGCCCTTGTCCGAGCCCGTTGACTTGCTGCAGCTTTAATTGAAGGGGGTCAACTTGTTCCTTCTGGAATTGCTGAGCAGGTGGGGAGAGGGAAGAAGGCAAATGAGTCCTATTATAAATCTTTGCCAAAACTTTTATCTGACTAAGGACTCGGGATAGGACACACTTTCCCTGGCTGCTAATTTCATCCTTGAACAGTCTGAGAGGGTTTTTTTAAAGAATATGGGGGAGATTCTGTCTCAGGTGAACTTCATAGCTCTGGAGGAGTCTGAATCCAGGTCTCCTGAGTCTAAATCCAACATTCTGCCATCAAACCATGCAGCCAATAAGCCTCTGTGGGAGCTGCTGGCCAACATCTTCTCCCTCCAGCATTTAAGCTTTAACCTGCAGGCTGCAAACAAACATTAACAGATCCTGCATCAAAGGACTCAACTGACTAATCAAGGAAACTTGGGAAATTAACACGAGATTTGATGTTGGAATTTAAAGGTGTTTGTGGAACATATTTCACATATGGAGAAAGGACTCAATGCAGTGAAATCCAAAAAAAGCTCAGTCACATAACATCAACAGGAATCTAGTTCTACCCCTTTCGGATGGATGTCACAGTCTCAATGCCAAAGCCCACCCAGAAAGTCCAGGGCACAGACTGGATTTCCTGCACAAGCATTCCCCCCCCCCGCCCTCCGCCCAAGCATAGGTCAATTCTCTGTTCTATATTACTTTATTATGCTACATATTATGATACTATCCCTCCACCTCTCTAGAGATCCAGCAACACCCACCCCCTCCCACTTCACCATAGTTTCACACGTCCTGCTTTCCACACTTCCAGATGTTATAGACGTATCACTTGGTCAAAAGCTAAAGATACATTATTGAGTACTTCTGCAAAGTTCTTCACAGATGAGAAAAAGCCAAACAATTTGGGAAGAAAGGCTCTCAAGGGTTCAGCTCCACAATCCTGGCTCTCTCAGAAGCCACAGCCATCTCCTGCTGCCAATCCTCTTCACAAACGCCTGACAGATCACAGGTGGGATGTCAAAACAGAGCAATGGCTCACTTGTGTGAAGACATGGAACACAGCATAACAGAGTTGGAAGGGATCTTGGAGATCATCTAGTTTAACCTGTTGCTTAAGCAGGGGTCCATTCCAGACAAGGGGCTGTCTAGTCTCTTTTTAAAAGCCTCCAGTGGTGAAGCACCCACAGCGTCTGAAGGCAAAAGCAGTTTCACTGGTTAATTGTTCTCACTGTTATGAAATTTGATTCTAAGTTGGTTCTCTCCTTGATAAGCTTCCACCTGTTGCTTCTTGTCTTGCCTTCTTTGGAAAACAGACTGATTCCTCCTCCTCTTTGTGGCAGCCTCCCAAATATTGGAAAGACTGTTATCGTATCACCCCTCATCCGTTTCTTTGTTAGACAAGGCATACCTAGTTCCTTCAACTGTTCATTGTACAATTTAACCTCTTTACTGCTCTTCTCACTCTTTCTAGAATCCCAGCATCTTTTTTGTAATTTTATGACCAGAACTAGAACCCCAATATTCCAAATGCGGTCTTACTAGTGTAAAGCAATGCTACCACCATGTTGATGCTGACCCTTTGTTGATGCATCCTAGAACTATATTGGCATTTGGGGCAGCTGGCTCAAACTTAAGTGGTTATTCAATAGGGCATCTATATCTCAATCATGGTTACTATTGCTGATCCAGGGACGGCCTTTCCTATAGCTGTGCAATTGGTTTTTCCTGGCTACGTGCAGCATCTTACTTGCAACAGTGAACTACATCTTGTTGGACAGGGACCAACAATGTTCAAGTCTGTCAAGGTGCTTCTGAATAAGAAGTCTATCTTCTAAAGTGTTGGTAATTTCCCTCTGGTTTGGTGTCAAACTGAGAATTGGATGAGTTCCCCTCCCTTGCCTAAATTATTTGTAAAGATGCTGAGGAGCCCAAGACGTAACCCTGGGATGCCCCACTGCACGCTTCCCTCTATGTAGAAGTGGTTCCACTGAGCCAACTGCGAATCCGTCTGGTGCCATGCTGTCTATCCCACATTGTTGTATCTTATCAAGATGTAGGGTTATGTTAAGTGCAAGTGTATTACACCGATCCACTAATTTAGTCACTTTCTCAAAGAAGGCAATAAAATTTGTCTTGCACGATCTGTTTCTAACAATGCTGGCTTATAGGTTATTACTTGATTCATTTCTAGGTGTTCACAAATCTGCTGCTTGATTCTCTTTTCCGGGATTTTCTCAGGGACTGAGGTCAGGCTAATCGTTCTCTAGTTTTTCCCCTCAGCAAGAGCCACCCTTTTCCCAGGAGGCGAGGCGAGGCGAGGCCAGCCAGGGGAAAGTGAAACCAAACCCTTTGAATGGAAGGTACTGCAGATGTTATCACATTTCTGCCCCAAAGGCAGCGCCTGGGAGGAATCAGCAAAAAATCTGACATATATTCTATCCTATTATCATAGCTAGCAGGGGGAAGTTGAACCCCCAGGAAGGGGAAGGCTGCTCCACAAGCCACAGGAAGCGGGTGGGGTTTCTCCCCAAAGCCAGCAGCAGCCACAGAGGACCTTTGGGCCAAACCAGCACGTTCTCCGAGAAGAAGGGACCCAGAGGAGCTGCTGATCATCTGCGGAGTCTTTTGCCCAGATGGCAGAGGAAGCAGGAGAAGGTTGCTGGGCAAAAGGGGCAAAGACACCCGGGGTTGTCAATCAGAGGGACTGTTTTGCTTGTTTGTGCATCAGGTGCATTACCTGCCCAAATCCCAAAGGACTCTGGGCCACGTACAAGGTATCGATCATACGCCCTTCCTCAAAAGCACCCAGGCCACTGGTGGCCGAGCTTGCCCTCTCAACTCCAGGAGCCCCTCCCCAACCTCAGCCCAAGCAGCAGAGGCCAGGTGGGAGCAGGCGGGAGCCACTCCAGCCCCTCTGAGGATCAATCTCTGCCCAGAGCCGTTCCCCGCTGCCTGCCCGCCTGCAAAGGCCTGTCATAGGCCTCTCCTACCCATGAAACCTGAACGGTCAAATGGCAGTGGCTGGCCTGCCTTTGTTTGCCCTCGGACGCTAAACAATGGAGCCCAAACACTGCCGTTTCCTTTCCTGGCCGGATCCTCCAGTATCAACACAACGTTTTCGGCTGCCACCCAAGCTTCGCCCAGGTTATGTCCCTCCCTCCAATCGCTCCCACCTCACTCTTGCATCCAGAGCCAAAATCTCCCACTGACCTTAAAAGTTATTTTGTGACACTAACATTAAAAAAAAAGAGCAGCAAAAATGATACGATTGAGATGCATCTTGCAAGTCAATGAGCTCGCCTGACGGATTGTTTTGGCTGCTGCGTCTTTGAGACTTGGCTGCTTTTAGGCTCTGGACGACCTTTTCTCCTCTGCGTGGATGGCCATCCCTCCAAAGGAGCGCTCTTCCTGCACTCCGTGTTTTCAGGCTGTTTGGGGTTGTTTTTTTTGACTGGAGCAGCCTAAAAGCACCCGAAAGAAATAGCTACATAAAGCTGCCTTCCCTGCCGCCCCAACCACCCCCCACCCCCCCAGCCTGGCCATCTCCTTTGTACTCTGGAAATGCAGGTGGAGTCACAGCTCCACTCCAATATTCGTCCTTTGAACCGGAAGCTTTTGCCCTTCTCTGGCGTGGGGCACCGTCAGGAGAAGCATAGGCTGGCCAAGCCGACTCTGGGGTCCTTTGACCTCAGGAACAAGGCAGCCCTCTGAGCCACACTGCAAGTGACGCAACAAACAGCCCATCGGTCGCCCAGCATTTTCAAGACTTTATCCACCCACAGGTCTTACAATGACATCTCAAAACAAGGAGAGAGCGATATCAGCAATTCTGTGACGCTTCGTGGCAGAGCAATCGTTTCGGAAAAACAAGATTTTGACGGCATTATTGGGGGCGGGGTATCTGCACTTCTTACCCATCAAGAGGTTCTGGGCCATCTCTGAAGGTCTCAGGGGACACAAAGGGTTTTTAATGTGTCATAATTGTTAACTGATAAGGTGCTTGTGCTCCGTCTCACACGTAGCCTGTATTTGCATCACCTTCCTGACTTCTGTCTCTCCTCCCCCACCACAGACATCTCCCCCACCGATTTAAATCCTGCATCTGTGGAGCCATTGCTTGGGTGAAGGACGATGTCATTCACTGAAAGCTCCTGAAAGACATTAGCAGGCTCCTACGTTCTGCCCTACAAAACTACGTGGCCGGTCAAGGTGATTACAAAAACACACGCCAGCACAACTGGCATAGCTGCATGAAAGTCTGGACTCCAGGGTTGCCCTTAGCTAAAATGATTTTTTTTTAATGGTTTTACAATTTTATGTTTTAAAACACTGTTTTGCGTGGTATTTTTCAATTTAAAGGGTAAGCTGCACAGAATGGTCTGAGCACACTCTAAATTTAGCAAAATGAACCAATAAAAAGCTGAGCGACCCCCCCTGGGCTGGTCCCTGGACGGCACTTTGCTCCTGAGAGATAAACCTGCTCAGCAAACGACCCCCCACCCCCCCAATCAGCGGCCTCCTCTCTTGCAAGGCTGGGAAGAAGAAGTCGGGGTGCCAGATGGCGAGGCAGGGCAAGCCCCACAGCCCTTGGAGGAGCTCGGGACCCTCCTGAACAGTCTTTCTCAACATTAAACAACTTTTAAGATGTCAAAATGTTGAAAGTATCAAAAATAATGAAAAAAAGGGTTCTTTCAACATTGTAAAAGACAAGAGAGAAGTCAAGGAAACGATTGGTCCATCGATGGCAGACGACGGTACGGAAGGAACCGGGCAGCAGGAACAATTCATTCTTTGCCTCTGGTTCACGCAAAAGGAAACAAAACAGCCCAGGCTTCCAGAAGCAGAACGGTAGCAGACAGACTGGGAATACAAGTCAAAAGGTATTAGAAGACCCCAAAGTGCTTTTCAAAAGGCAACGGATTGTCTTTGTTTTTTCCTTGAAGTTGTTTCTCTTCTCGTCCAAGCAGCTTTTTCTCATCTGAGAAGAGAAACATCTTCAAGGAAAAGAAAAACCAGGGAAGTTGTCCAGTTGCCTTTTGAAAAGCACC